TAACTCAATATTTTGTCCAGAAAAATATTACGCAAGCCTCAAGATTTTGCTCATAGAAGGAACAAAGGTCTAGGCATATATTATCGAAATCTCGAGACTTAGGCAATATTTTTCTGGCTAAAATATTGAGTTAGCTGTTTTAAAAAATCGGCTCAAAATGAGCCGTTTAACAACACTAGCTGTTTCATATTGATTGATACGTGTTTGGAAGATCTATTTTTTAATTTATATGTTTTCGCAAACTGCAACACGCCCACCCTTCATACGCCCATTGTTCATCTCTTCCTAGTTCCTATGAAATTTGAGTTTATGATCCTCGGAGGATTCATTCAATTATCGTATTTCTGGCATTGACCCAACTATAGTATTTATCGAATCGTCCATTTGAATTGTATCGGTTTTTGGTATCTTCGGAACCGTTCATGATATTTATTGAATCGTCCATTTTTGATACTTATTTATGGTATACACTTCTGGAAATGTTTTACTTGACATATTTATTTATAATCTATGGGATATTCATATTGTTGTTATAATATTTGGGGATAGACATATTGCTTAAATATATACATACTAAGAGAAAAATTATTATATATCCTTCATTTTATACAGATTTATAGTGTAGTAGAGTTCCTGAAATATTTGTATGTTTCCACATTCCCGGATATTTATAATAAGAATTTAAATTAAAAGAAAATATCCCCAAATGAACGTAACCGATTGGTCGATGCATAAATAAATAGCAAATCTATGACTCTATATAATATTATGTAACATAAACAAAATGCCATATATTTGTGAAAGATTAATTAAGAACCAAAATTGTAGACATAAAAAATTTATTTTAATAATCTAAAATGAGTGTGACAGAATAAATACCTATTTATTCATAAATAAATCTAGTCACATACTGTACAACATAATAGGCACATTCGATTTATATAATAAAAAATATAAACAATTTCCATCATTTCCCTATTTAATTTAGGTGTCTTGAAAAAAAAAAATTAATTGCATGTTCTCAAAGAGAACCTATTATTTTGCGATTAGAGAATATATTCAATTTTCCCAGAAATTCGTTAGAAGACTTTTAATGTTAACCTTATATATATATAGGAAATAAATTGTTTTACAAGTATGGTGACTTATGGGATTTCATTTTGTTGTAAAGATATCATTATAACCATTATGGGTATCAAAAATGAAAACGTAATAGATAAAAGATATTCATCAATCACCTAGATTTCTTATATCAAAATTTCAGAGTTTTAGAAATTTTTAAAATTAAATAGTTTACTATCAAATATATAACACCATCTATGTAATTTATTTAATAATAAGAATATTTTGTTTACTATTTTTATTTTGTTAAATCTTTTTTGAAACCTGAGGACATAATTTAATATATTTTTTTTTTCATATTAAGATACAAAATTTTATTACTTCACATTATAAATAATGTTAGTCATTATTAATTTAATTTTTTTATATATATATAATGGATTAAAAATTGGAACACACTATTGTGTTTGGCAGTTTTATTTTTCTTATTATATTTTTTCGAATACTTTTCGGAAAAGAGGAGTGACCGGATTCGATACAAATTATCGATGTAATAGCGGAAGATACTTTTTTTTTAAATTTTGGACTAAACGCTTTATGATATGTAGTATAAATTATCTTAACAGCAATCCTCTAGAAGGAAAAATTTGTATATTTCCAACATCAAAAATCTCCAAATAGAACAGGTAATATTCATTAATGCTTGAAGTCTAGAGACTCCGGATATCTGGAATTTTAGCTAAAGAAAATTATTTTATGTATAGATATATAAGTGTATTAGATATTATTGGTTTTATTCTTTATATTATATTGTTGATGAAATTTATTTTGAAAAAAATTTAAATTCAAAAAATCTTATTTATTTTACGTTTTAAATCGATTTTATAAAATATATAGTATAACTAACGGAAAAAATTTTTTTTGGCATTCAAAAAATATAAATATATTTGAAAGAATATTATTTTCTTTTTATAATTGAAACTTGCTTATTGAATTGATATAAAATAACTATAAAGAATTTACGGAACTAAACGGGGAAGATAATTTTTAAATAAATAAGCTTATTTAGAATGATGTAGGTTGAAATTTCTTGGTTTTTTCCCCTTTCAAAGCTCAAGAAAGATATTTAAGGTAAATGTATGTCATGTGCTTCTAGATCTACACTTTTCACGCACCGTAAAATAACGCCGATATTTCGGGGGCTAGGGAACGTTAGGATCTATATAGCAATAAATACTAAATTTGCCTATACTAATTAAGACTCTTGATACCTTACCATTTTAACTGGACTAATTTTATCAAAGATTTTCTCAAATTGATTTGATTAGTGTAAGCAAATGATGGTCCAAGATTTGTAGGGGCAGGAGGAGATGAGGATTACCAAATTTTTTGGTAGTTTCACCCTGCCAGCCTTTTAGTCGGGTTCATTTTATGTAAAAATTTTAGGTGTTTAAACTATTTCTTATTAACCGGTGATTATATGTAGTTTATTTAAATATTTGTAGTATTATAGCCGGTATAGTAATAATTAGTGACGAGGGGAAAAAAAAATTATTATTAACAAAATTTTGGCCAAATTCACGATTAATAATTGATTTAAAACATTTATTTTGAATGATTTATCAATGTTTTAATGAATAAATAAATTAAAAATAATTGTACATCAAAAGATTTAATTAATACATCTTTATAAAAGTAGTTTTTAAATATAAAAACATCAAAATATAATTATATCATAAATTAGCTTATATGAAATATTTCTTAACACTTTTATAATATATTATTTTTATCATCCTTTCCTCTGATAATCTTTTCTACTTTATCGAAAGATAAAAAAAAAATCTGTATAAAAATAAGAAAAAAGAAAGAAAGAATCAATGAAGCGGAATATGGAATTTAAGGGTTGAGCACTAAATAAGAAGTTATAAAAATGCATTTAAATCAGTTTTATCTCTTTTTTTAAATTAAAAAAAAAGAATATATTGTCGATTCATTTTAGATGGGCATATGGAAATTCTCAACATCATTGAAAACATGTTGCTGAATGATATATAACCTGTCTATATCCATATTTTTCGTAAAGGAGGTTGGTGAACTTCAAAAGGTCCTTTTATAAATTAATCCATAAGTAAATATTTCAATGACATTTTTTTTATATTAAAAACCATAATATTTATATTATTTTGTTAAATATACCTCAAAAACAAAAACTTAAAAATGCGCAGGCGCGCAAATTGAGCGTGTACGTTTTGCCGTAATTTTTTAATAAGAAAATCGTAACGCATCCCTTGTTTAAATGGAGGTTGCCTTTTTATTAATATCGTCGATTCAAAATTTTAGCTAAGTTCAAAAGAAAGATTTGTTTTAGAAAATTATATTTATCGTCTGCCTTTTTATTTCTTTAATTTCTAAATATTCCATTTTAAGATATAGAGTTAGTTATTTTTTTTTAACATTATATATATAATATTACAAAATGAAGAATAATGAGCTATTGACAAAAGCAAATCTGTTTAAGTTTTAAATCGTTGCTAGCGCCAAACAGTAATTTTACCAATTCGCACCCTGCCATTTGGAATGCATTATTTGCGTTTGAAATGGTCAATTCGTGCTCACTATAAGAATGAGATTTTTTATCGTATAAAAAAAAATTGTTTAGCAATACTCCTTCTTAGGGAGAGAGAATAACCGGGAGAGGGGGGGGAAGGTTTGTAAGGGTATATTTTTTCCGCATCCGCCCTTCTCCCGCCTTACGTGTTAAGTCAATTCATGATAATTCGTTACGGTTAAGTATGCTAATCGATATTTTTTAAATTTTCTAATTGAAATTTGCATAATATCTATAATTCATAACATCAATTATCTTCAGAAGGTTCAATAAATTTATGAGGAGGTATTTTTTAAAAAAAATGAAACATTAACCAGACCAGACCAGAAAGAGTTTTTCATTAATATTTAGATTTTGATTTTTGAATATTTTTTGATTAGACCAAATTGTATATTCCATCGATGTTTTAATATTTTTATTGGTTATATTTTACATCCTGGTTCGGTATCTGATTTAGCCGAACTCGGGTCAGTCGCGGACCGGATTTACGGACTTTGATTTTTGGATTTTATTTCGGATCGGGTGTTGTTTAACCGTAGCTTCCCCTAAACAACCTAAAACGATAGAGGCTATTTAGATTTAGGTAATAGATCACGCGCCTAGTGTTCTTAAACAATACGATTTGAGCTATTTTATCCAGAAAAATATCACGCAAGCCTGAAAATTTTGCTCCGTGCCTAGTGTTGTTAAACGGCTCTATTTTAAGCCCTATTTTTTAAAAATGGCTAACGCAATATTTTAGCCAGAATAATATTAAGCTAGCCTAAAAATTTGGAGATGGGATCAAAAGTTTTGTATTTTAATCCTCAAAGATTCTTGAATAAATATTTGATCTTCAGAAAATTCTTCCAATAATCATCGAATACAACTGTTTTAGTTTTTTCAAATCAAATTTATTTTTATTTAAAAAAAATTTGGAATAAATCATATGCGAAAAAGGAATCTATGTTATAATCCATTGTAAATATATTTGATACAAATTGCAAAATGCCTACCCTTAACGGGCTAAGGATATGCGCCTAATAAATTTCCATTTCAATGTATAATTTGTTATATAATTATCAGAGACCTGCAAAGGTATCATTTGTACAGCCCGACCCGGCCCGGATATTTTTTAAAAAAATTTTTCAGCAAAAAATATATTATTTATTTTTGATTTTTACAGCTAAGAATCAAATATTTGGTTTTCCCGTCTCTGATAATTATTGTCCAAAAATGGACCCCTGCATAATTAATATTATGTTTGAAATCTATTTTCAAAAAATAAATATTGTATGGATAGGTATGATAGATTACATTTCTTACCACAATCATCTTACAAATAATTTACTGGTTTAACAGCAATTCTTCCTATTTTATTCTCTTGTGATTCCGTCTCTTGTGCTTGAGTCGGTTAGCTCCTCCCCACGGCATACCGCGACAGCATATCAACTCGAACTTTTTGAATTCGTTGACCTCTTGAGGCGTACGATGGTTTCTCGAGACTGAACATTATGTTTATTAGAAAATATTGTATCTATAAAAAGAGTATATCTATTCTATATTCCCTTTTTAGGTAATAAGTCTGTATCGATACATTTTTAAAAAAAAACCTTTTAACATCTCTATCATCGCCCAATAATTAAATTTATTTAGATTATATTATAATATAAAAATTTATTTCACTATTTAAAAAATTCTTGAACCATAGGTATGCATATACCTGCTAACTTCTCTGTTTATTTCATTTCATTTTTATTATATTAAATTAATTAAACATATTTCTTATGATATTAGTAAAATATTTTCTTCTTTTACATTTTCTTAAATCTATATTGAATCAGTAAGATTCACTTTTAATCATTCTTACTGTCATTGTCGTCAATTCAAATCTTAGATTTTATAGGTAATAAATAAGTCGGAAAATAAAAATTTGCATTTATTTATTTTAAAATATGAATTATTTATAAAATAAATCATAATTATAATATATAAATAATAAATTAACTCAAAACATGCCAATCATAATTTCCAAATTATATTATTATTTATAAAATAAATATTATTTATAAAAAAATATATATATAACGTATAATAACTGCTTGGCTCACGAAATTTTACGTGACCTTGAAATATGTCGATTCGTATAATAGTAGTTCAAGTCATAAAAAACATATAATTACAAAAGAAGTAAAAAAAAATAGTAAATAAAATAAACGATATTAAAAGGCAAAAATATTTAATTAAATAATAAAATAATAAATAAATTAATATATTATATTTATTATATAAACTATCTCTTTCCGCTAAACATTTTTTGAATTTTTATGAAATTTTGAAGACGGTCCAATATATTCAAATCTCGATAATTTTAATATTAAAAAAAAAGTAAAATAATAAATTGATTTATTTTATTTTACATATTTATTTAAGTTATTGTTTTTAATTGCGTTTGTGTGATTATAATTAAAATAAGGGTTTCTGGATTTCTGATCAGTTGAGAATTTAAAAACATGTAAGCCTTGAAATTTGGCATATTGAGGTGAAAACCTTTCTGCTATCTGCGAACAAAATATCCAGGCTTTACATAATATAATTTTGGCCAAAATCTTAATCGGGCCGTTTAATTGAGAAATCTTGTAAGTAAATGAGCAAAATTAGCCAGCTAAAACAATATTGAGATCAGCTATTACTACTAAAATTGACTTATACTAGAAATTTTTTATTATTTAACCTAATCGGATAAATTCACATAATTCCGATAGAGTGGGGAAGTACCATCACAGAATAAATATAGCATTATTTTGTTGTTTAATAAAGTTTCAGATTCTGAAGTCGTTTTCTGTTAAAAATATTTGATGCTATATATGTAAATGTAAGGTACTTATGGTGGTTGGTGTTATTACATCTAACTATGGTTGTGTACTTGACCGGCCAAATATGTTTGGGTCAATTGACGTCTGTCAAATATAGTCAAATTCAAATAAATGTTTTTTAAGACAATAATAACTTTATTTTGTATATAATAGTAAAATGAATCTATAATATTAATTTTTATCCTATTTTTTAAAAAATTCATTGTCATTCGATAACTAATGTTTTCGCTCTCCCAGAGTCTTGTTATGATTCATATTCAATATTATCATTTTCTTTGATTATTTTTTAATCAATTTTCCTGTTGTCGAGATCTGGAATCGATTTATGGGTAAGAACATTAATCCAAATCGACCAATTTCTTTAAGAAAAAACAGTAGAGATAGGAATTGTTAGTAAAATGCCACTTCTATTAATGAGTATGGTGAGCAAAGCTCATTCCACTAACTTGAGGCAGCAATCTGATTGTTTTTTTATGGAAATTAGTGCTTTAATTTGCCATTAAACTGGCCATTTTAACTTCTGATGATATCATTTAAAATATTTTGATCATTTATCACTTTGTAAAATGCCGAATTCTTGTATTATATCACATACTTCATTAAATTCACTACCAGTAGGATTCTCCCCTTTAATAATGGGGATCCAATAAATAAGCAACATTGTGATCACATGTATTTATATAATTTTTTTTCTTTTTTCAAATATATTTTTAATTTTTTCTCCTGAAAAATATTTAGATTCTTTAACCTTCAGGTCATATATAATAATTGCATCCCTCGTTTTAGTCATAATATAAATGTTTCGAAACTTGGAAAATTTTTTTAAAAACTTTACTTGAATTTTAATGGTAAAATTCACAGATACCCTCGATATCATCCTTAACGAATATCTTTTCCGCCTTTGGTGTAAAAAAATGAGGTTTGATTTAAAAATTTCATCAATTTATCACTGAATCTTTCATTAAACTGCATAATGATCAAATCTGCAGTATAAACTGGTTTTATAACTAAAATAAAATATTATATTTATTAATGAAAGTATATATAAAATATATACCTCTCATTTGTATTGTAATGTTTGAAGTCTAGAACTTTCAAAATCAGAAGGTATATTTTTTTCAGATAATATTACCGAGTGGTATTCTTAATGCATATAAATCTTTGCGATTTTGGCATTACATCAACTCTGATACTTTGAGCATTGCATATTTTTTAACACTATTAAAATACAAGTGAATCTCGTCTAAGATCTTTAAAACATTTCTTAGTTCTTTTATCGATTGAAATAATTAAACAATGATTAGATTTAATCGATGACAATAGAATCAAAAAAGCTCCCTTTGAGATCTCAGCTCTAATCAAAGCCTGTACTCATATGTTCCTTCCACTCATGTTTGAAGCACCATCATAGTTTTTCCAACTAAGAATTCGAGGCGTAGATTAATGGAACTAAGTTTGCTTATTATATTTTTTTTAATATCAAGACCAGTCGTGTTCCACCATTTCCAATATATTTTACTAACAAAGTTTATTAATTCTGATTTCGAAACATCATATGTACCATCAACTATAATCGAAAAACATCCAATATATTCTTTTTTCTTCATTTTGAGTATATAATTTGTAATTTACCAATATAAATTAATAATATATCGGTATTTTAGAGTTCAATATTAAATTTTCAGTATCGGTATTTTAATATATATATATATATTTAATAGATTTGTTAGTATTTAAATTATATTACCAGTAAATTATAAGTGTATTATTTAAATTAATATTAATTTATCGGTAAAATAAATTCATTATTATAATTAATTAATTATAGTAATTATATCTAAATTTCGAGATTTTTTTCTATGAAAGCATATTAATTAATTTAAAATGTTTATTTTTTAAATTAAACATGTTCTTATATTATATTATATATAATAGTAATAGAATAGTTAATAACAATAAACTCCACCTTGCGGATTAAATATTTAATAAAATTATATTTTCTTATTTTAATTATTCTTAATTGCATTTTAAAAATTTTAGCGCTCAAATTTAAAAAAAATATGATTACCTTTAATTTAATTAAATTAAGCTATATAAATCTTATAATATTATCAAAATTATAAATTTGGCAGGAAATTGGAAAAACATAACCTGAATTATGATCACTATGTTCAGTCGTATCTTCAAATATTATATATTAAATAACTAATAATTGAATCATATCCAGTATTTAAAATATTTAAATTTTTATTTTAATTTTTTTAAAACTTAAAATGTGTCCAAAGTGTTTTGTTATAAATTTACGAAAGGATTTTTTAAAAACATTTTGAACGCAGCCTTATAAAATATAAATCAGACATGTATATAAATAAAAATTTTTTTTAAAAAATCAAAATAATATATTTATTTCTTTCTTTTTCAACTGCTACTGACATGTGCACAACAAATGTTCCTATATTTTTCATCCATGGAAGTAGAGTGTTGTGCAGATTTAACGAAAAACATTTCCATAATTTTCGTTTGTAAATGAAATTATTTAATTTGTAAAAATTGAGGCTGCATTGGAGACTGATCCGTCTCCACTTTGAAAGGCAGCCTGATAAGAATATATAAATATGTTATTTTAACAAATTATTTTTGCAAGTCAAATAATTTTATTTTCAGATAAATTGAAAAATATGGAAATGTTTTCCATCAAATCTGGTTCAACACTGTAAATTAGATAATTAAACATTTACAAGACGGGATTTTTATTTATTTAAATTACAATTATTTTAAGAAAAATATGATAATAAAATAACTTTTACTTCTGACGGCATTCAGTGAACCTGCCCTCACTATTTTCAACCAAGTTTTATTATATTTTTTTTCATTTTAACAACAACTAAAACTGTTAACTATAGAGAATTAGCAATTTTATTAATTGCCCTTAATTCAACTATATACCAAACTACTGTTATAAACTTTAACATAATAAAATTATAATGAATTTTTTTTTAAAAAAATTCTTTTTTGCCATTTCAGCCACATTATTATATCATTATATTGCATATTTCCATACTTTCAAAGTACACAGTTGCTACATAATAATTTACAACTTTTATATACATGTTACACTGCGGTATTATACAATAAGTAAATTAATTCCCTCATTTTTTTTGTACTACAAAGTACATTGGGATTAATTCTACATTAATTTAAACTACTATCATATTATAGGGAAAACAAAAATATTAATGTTAAAGAACATTTAACATATTAACTTTTACATTTTTTCCCCCTTATCATACATGATCATTATGTCTAATAACGGTAATACCATTTATTAGTAATATTTCTATTTTATTTAATCTCGATCATATATGAGCTAGTACCTTGCCCTTAGCCCATTTATTCTCTTTTCTTATCAAATAAACGTGTCCTATCTATTTGGCCCACAATAAATTTGACTCTTTGATTTAGTGGGGTTAGATCTTTTTTAAGAAACAACTTTGAAAGAGTGATACCTTCTCGGTTACGAGAATTAAGACAATACAATTGAGACATTTAAACCTCACCCTTTCCTTTTCCAGCCTTTCTGGGCCAATTTTTAACAATCGCCACCATTCTCTCATCTTGTCCATTCGATCTGGGATGATACGGTGGGGCAAAAATGTGTTTAGTTTGTGACTCGGCACAAAACTGTTTAATATCATCACCTATAAATTCTGGATCTCCATCGGAAATAATAATGTCCGAATAACCGAACCAGGCCATTCCCTTTTGTCGTATACCCGTGTACCTCTTCATATTCTCTCCACTTTGAATACGAATCAACTACTAAAAAGTACGATTTTTTATTCTTATCAAAGAAATCGACGCGGATACGCTCCCAAGGTTTTTTGGATTTGATCCAACCACCTGCCTACCTCTTTATGGGGCATAGCAGCACACGACTACATGGAATACTTTGTGGAGAGGTTCCGAATCTGCAATTAGTTTAATAATGTCTTTAAAAGCTACTATTTCGAAGCTTTTCTTTATATCGTTAAAATTTAGCCCACCATATTTTTTCTAATATGGTCTATCCATTTATCATCTTCTTATATTATGCCGTGTGCAATTATTAATTAAGAATTTGTATTTTTTTTGGTTAATATTTTTGGGCATATTTTGAAATTGGAAAAATAATTTAATAAGACAAAAAATCTTTTGGTTATGGATGGGTGTAATGTTGTTAAATGGCTCGTTTTGAGCCGATTTTTAAAAACGGCTGAAAGAAAGAAATTTCGATACTATATGTCTAGACTTTTGCTTCTTCCATGAACAAAATTTTCAGGTTTGCGTAATATTTTTCTGGATAAAATACTGTGTTAGCCGTTTTTAAAAATCGGCCCAAAACGAACCGTTTAACAACGTTAGATGGGTGTGGTAAAGCAAAAATTAAAATAGAAGTACCACCATTCAAATTTTAAAAACAGTTATCGGAAATTTTAATGTTTGTTTTGTCTACCAGATACCAGGGTAGATGGTTATTTGAAAAAGAAAAATTGAAAATTGCCGTTATGTTTATAAGTCAATTAGAGAAGAAATGAATAAGGATTGGGGGATTCGCCTGATTGGTCTAATGTTTGTATAGATACTTTTGTTTGGCTTTGTTTTACTTGTCACTTACACCAATGGATATTTGTGGTAATAGTATGGAAATATTTGAGGCACATGTGAGAAATAATGAGGGATTGTAAATAAAATATGTTATGTGCCTCATCCAGTTTGTAATATCCCATGAGGTGTGACAAGGGTAAAAGTATTTGAAATTGTTATTTTATTTTATTTTATAAATTTTTTTCCCCTATATTGCCATAATTTGTTTAATTATATTTTTTAATGCCCCAAAATTGTAATTTAATAATTTTTGTTTATAAAAAAAATTAAAATAAATTTTATTTCCTTTTTTACCAAATTTACCATCGCATTGAACTATCATAATTCCAAAAAATGACAAAATAATGCGTCGTTCAAGATATTCAAATCAAGCCCCCGATTACATAAATATGACGTCAATGTAGATAAATAGAGACCAAATCTTTTTACGCTATGAATATGGTATGATATGGGAATTCGTATTAGCAAACTACCGTCCTAACAAGTTACACGATGATGTCCATATAGCAAACCTTTGTAGGACCATGAATATTCATTATTCTCTTAATATCATTAATAATCAAGAGGCATAATTATATAAATATGGAGTAAAAGTAGATAACGGGATATCAGATATTTTTCCTATGAATTTGATATGAAAGAAAAAAAATTCTCTTATTATAATAATTGGTAAGATCTTTGTATTATATATTTGTAAATATATCGTCGGTCTAGAATTAGGGTGCTCCACTCGACATTTTCAAAATTTTTGAGTTAGAAGTGGATAATTACTAATTTATTCCCAATATATTTAAAAATAAAAACTTGATTAAAAATCTTAATTTTTGCCAAAGTTATAGCTCTGTCAATTTTGCGCTATTTGCATATAACGATGTTGCTTCATATGCATGGCCTATCCTATTATGTTATTTAATTACGTGTTGTTTTCCCTCCTATTTTTTTTTTTTATATTGAATTGTAAAATATTTTCATTCCATATCTCTATTCCAAATTAAATGTCAAGGTAAATTTTTTATTATATACAATAATGAAATTTAACAATTTTTTAAATTATGCTTATAATTTAAGTAAATTATTATGCATTACTTGCTCGTATAAAAATTGAAAATTAAATTATAATGAAATTTAACAATTTTTTAATAATTAACTTGCTCATAATTTAAATAAATTATTAAGCATTACTTGCTCATATAAAAATTAAAAATACAATCTTTATAATGAAATTTAATAATTTTTTAATAATTTACTTTCATAATTTAAATAAATTATTAAGCATTACTTGCTCATAAAAATTGAAAATTTTAATATTTATAATGAAATTTAACAATTTTTTAATATTTCTAGAAGCAAAGCAAATGAAAGGTGATTTGAAAAGAGCAAGGATGGTTCAGAATGATCTAATATGTATATTTCAATGTCATCTAAAAATTAATGCAGATCAGAGAAAAATTATTCATGAAGTTTTTTGGAGCTTAACTGATAAAGCATTATATACATAATTTGATATGCGTACATATGAATACATTTATATTATATAAATCTATATAATATTTAAATAATTAATTTATTTCTAAGTTAAAATATTCTTGATAATATTATTTATATAGTTTAATCTAATTAAATTAAAGATAATCATAAGAATAATTTTTCTTTTAATTTATGGGCAAAATTTTTAAATGCAATTAGAATAATTAATTAATAGTTTTATAAAATATAAATCCGCAAGGTGGCGTTTATTGTTATTTATTATTTAATTACTATTATTTATAATATAAGGCCATTAAAAGCTAATGGATAATTGTTCAATTTAAAAATAAAACATTTCATAGAAAATGAATTTATTTTACCGATAAATTAATTTAAATAATGCACTTAATAATTTATGGTAATATAATTTAAGGAGAAAAATAATATATTCTAACAAATCAATTAAATATATTTATTAGTAAATCTAATTAAATACCGATACTGAAAATTTAATGCTGAACCCTAAATTACCGAAATTATTATTATTATATATATATAAAAAAATATTTTTAAATATAGTATTAAAAATGACTCCAAATCAAAAATATAATTAGATAGTTGTTTGGCGGAGCAGCAAACATGCAAAGAATTTGTTGGGCTCAAATTTAGCAAGGGGCCATCAGTTATTATGATTTACATTTGACGCAATTAACCATATTCTCGATTTCTGCGTTTGTGACCAGTGGCCCCTACAACTAATAAAAGAGCCGGAACAATTCATTCTTCCCTGCAATCCAATTTTCTTTTAAAGTGACCCTTTATTGCTACATTCAACATTAAAAAACCCCTTTATTGCTCACCTATAAAAACTCAAATAAAATAATCAGAGATTGTTTAAAATTTTATTTTTTGATATTTATTGAAATTTTATAATATAAAATACCAAAATTACAAAATAATTTATAAATGGGAGAGGACATATTTTTTCCACTGTGTATTATATAAATTATTTTTTGTTATGAAAAGAAAAAAAAACAATTTCTTTTAGCGTTAATACATAGCGAAACTTTACAAATAGAACATTCCCAGGATGTCCTAATATATTTTCTTAAGGGATTCCGAATCACTAGCAAGAATTTTTACAGAAATATGATCCGATCCCTTTTTCCTTGTATCATCAGCTACTTTTGAATGAGTCGATATTGGATTGCTTTGCAAGGATGATGATACACTAAGAATCTTATGAGTTAGTAGATTTTCGATAATTTTTAATCGACATAGAGACTCTTATATAATCACCAGAGCCGTAATCTGATAAAAAACTTGGTGGGGGTATTGGTTTTGTAATTGCCCTCCAATTTAATTCAAATAGGTTGTCCTCGACTTCCTTTGAGCATATTTCAAAAGAAGAATCCGATCACTTGAACATATATCAGAAAAGAAAATTTTTTTGAAAAATTTTATAAAAACATAAAATTTTTAAAATATAAATGTAAAATAAGTATTATTGCAGAGAGGGACTTAAAATGACTGGATACATTTTTTGTAACTGCCAAAAAATGATCATTTTTAAAAATATTGATATTTATGATAATATATAGAATATATAAATTTTACTTATTTATTTATCAAATGTACCAGAATTTTGCTATAAAGTAGATTCAAAAATTTTATAAAAAATATTTTGCAAAGAATAAAATAAAAAGGCATGATTGATAAAATACGAAACTTTTTGCTCGCGAAAATATTTAAATATACATAAATAATATTATTTTTTAAATGGGATAAATTTATGTCATCTGTCGTGTATTAAATAAAGTAAAAAAAGTCAAGCCGGGTTAAATATGTCCCACCGTGTATTAAAGGTCCTTTTTTAGGTGGGACAAATTTCAACCGGCTTTGTAATAAAGGGTTAAATCGATTGATTTATGGAACTTTATTAATGAATCCTCGTTTATGTTATAAATTTTTTTTTTTTAAAAAACAACACCCATTTAGATTTCGCAAATTTGGCGATAAAAATCCTGAAAAATTTTGTTTTGTCGTGGCAGCCATCATTTTTGGCTGAAACACCCGATCACGTAATAACAACCCCTTTAAGTTATGAACCAAAAAATAATAAATTGATCAGAGCACCCCTGCATATCAAATTTCAAAAAAAAAATTTCCCTGGGAATAGCGTCAAACATTTAACGGGTAAAGCAAGCACAAATGATTATGACAAGTCTAAAAGTGGGAAGGCCTCTAAAAGGCGCAAAAAATCGCGTAAAGATAGATCCAAGATTTCCGTAGTAAACGGGCCCAAAGGACGGAACACGATTGGCGCGGTAACTGTTAATAAGATTAAGAGGAATAACAAAAAGAAGATTGGAACAGATGACGTAGCCGAAATTTTTAATGATAACACTACGTTTCGTTTGAAAGTCATCAAGGATATCGAAAAATTAATCGATTTCAATTCTCTGCAAAAGTATCGCGACAAAGTTTCGCTATCGATTATGGAATATGATGCAGCACCATGCAAACCAAGGCATTCTCCTGCGAAAAATGGAGTCTCCAAGAAGGCGATCAACCATTCTTTGTTAAAAGAAAAAACATCTCTGAGCCTTGATCATGGATCAGCATCGCTACCTACTACTTTACATTCAAAGGATAATAATATCGCAAGCAAAGTTGAAAATTTGAGATTGTTTGATACCAAGACACCCTCCCTGCCGACGTCAAATCATAAAAAAAAATTAAATGTTGGCTTGACTTATCCGCCGACTACTTTTGCGAATTATAAACGCGCTAAAAAACGGCGGGACCTATCTTTGTTAATTGGCGAGAAAGAGTTAAACACTGCAACATCCGTTGGCCACAAAAATACTCATAAGGTATTTATTAAAACTTCTATAACATACCTAGAATGATTTGAAGCGTTTAACAAATCAATCAGCTCAGCTGGTAACACGCCATTTTGATTTCTAGTGTCTCCAGCTGATTTATATTGATATACATTATGCTATGGGCATATTTTAAAAACCCGTTTTGGGGATCGAACCCCGAAATTACTTAATTAGAATTTTTTAATTTTTCATGTTTTTGTTTATGCTAATTTTTAGATTTTGAATTTCCATTTTTTTTGTGCTAAATTTTTTTTGTTTGCACGTGTCCACATATGAATGATTCATCAGTCTGCTTCATTGTTAAAATTACATATTTTTTTTTATATAATTTTTGAAAATATTAATATAAATATATTTTTTAAAAAATAAATAAATAAAATAAAAATAATAACAATATAATAATTAACACTCATGGTCATGCCAAAATTAAATTAGTTTTAAATTGTTTGTCAATAATATAATTTACCTTTCTAAAGAATTTTAAAAATATAATCCTATATATAATAGAACATCCGCCCTACCAACGACTTGAATAAAGTTAAAAGTTTTCATCAATTATCATCTATGGTAGCCCTGGCGCCAGAAATTCCCGTTAAATCTTTATTGTATCCGGATAAAAATGACAATATTCGCGACATCTTTACCACCGCAAACACCGCATCTTCTGATCGAGCACCTCCCCAATACGGATGGAAGTGGGAAGGGGGCCCTTATTATGGATACGTTTTAACAAAGGTAAATAATTAGTAAATATAATTTAAAAAAATTTATTAATTAATATTTAAATGATGGTATTTTCTCGTTAATTTGAATCCACAATCAGGCATAATTTGCCATGATTTTGAGAAAATTTGCTAATATATTTCGACTTTTTAAAATAAGTAAATATTCTATATATGTTTTTGCTAATTTAAAAATAAATTTAAGAATTTTTTATAAATATGCCCTTCCCCCATTAACTATCCTACATGTTTTTCTGTCATTCACAAACTATTAGACAGCTTGGCAGGTGATCTGTTAGATTTCGGTTCCTTAAGTCTAAAATCCAAAGCTTCATGACAAGATCACCATTAATAAGAGTTTTACAGCCGTTTTAACCTGATAGTAAATGGTAAAGTATCTTCTTGCCAAGATTTCAGCTAAGAAATATCATTAATCTGGGCAATCTGTTGTATTTTGTGAAAATAAAATATTTATTATCGGGTCTCGACCTTATTGATTATAAAATAGGTTAATGTATTTACCTTCCCTTTATCTAATCGCTTCTAGTTATGCTTAAATGTTAGAAGACTAAACAACAATAAAGATGGTCAAAATTAGGTAATTTAACGACACTAAGTGTAATTAATGATATCCCGCTAATTAAGGTGACAAATTACATAATTTTTGTTTTAAAAACTTCGTTTTATATATTTCATTTCATTTTACAATGCAGTGTATAATGCGAATAGCGAATAAAATAATCGGGGTTGCCAAGGTCTACCACATTTTGTTACAAAAGTCGAAATTAAAATTTCCCAAATATACCACAAAATCTCCCACAATTCTAATTTTTTTTTCTTCAAAAATCATGCTTTTTGATATAAAAAATATCATGTAAAAAAGAGAAATTTTTAAAATCACGATAATTTAATTCCTCTTTTCTATTGGATCCTCCTATTCTCAAATGTAGTATTTTTTATTTGATAACTGATAAAACTACTGGGATTTATATAATTACGGCCATACTATATTTAGCTAATTTGTGAAATGATATATTGATTAAACAATCAGCACTAAAAACCTTTTTAATAAAAATGAATGAAATAAATTAGTAATTAGTATTTTTCAGCATTGGATTGGCAGGGTAAAAGGGGGTTTGTGGGTGAAGGCCACAAAATTTTTTTTAACAAAAATCTACCACAATCGATTAATTTTTACATGGCAATCCTGAACGTAATGTGGCAATGTCACCAAAAGTAACGCGTTACCTTAATTCATTACTTGTTTTCAACTGGAATGCCGTTACTAGCTACTTTTTTGGATATAATAAGTAACGAAATTACTTTCTACTATTGTATATGAAATCTTTTGAAATTATATCCTGATGTATTTTAGTAAATCCTTTATAAATTTATTCATTTCATTATAATATTACTAATAAATAGGCACAAATTATATGAAAATTCAGGGCAAATTTGGGTGATACACATTTATATTTTATATCTAGATAACTACTATACATTGCATAAAAAGTTATTTTCATTTTTAATTCTTATCTTTAAAATTATATTTTTATAAAGAATTCTTCCATTCCTCATGTGAGATTGTGTTACCCAGCCATAAAACACGCCAAAGGAGGCGACATTTTACGAATTAAGGACGACGTTCTCATCCGATCGGAAATATCGGATCGTTCTTTTAAAGGTAAGGCTGACAAACGTCAAGTGACATGCGTCGGTAAAATTATGGCCTTTTGGAATCACAATGGTTATTTTAATTTTATTTTTTTACTTGTGTAATCATAAAAATTATTTGTATTTTATATTAGAAATCGACACGGGTCTGTCCGTGAATTTTTATCGATTTTTTCTGTTCAGAACCTAAATTTTTATATCCGGTCGGTCCGTAAATAATTTCGTACAAATTATCCGACCCGGTAATCATTTTGTCCGAACTTTGGACCGGTACACCCCGAACCTCGAAACAATTGAATGAAAGAACCCCGGATAAAAGAATATTTTATTATCTTACCAAAAAATAATAAATAAATAAGGTGACATGAAAATGACAATAATGTGGTACTACCAAAAAGAACACGTGGAAATAGCGGAGACTTACAACGCGGATTCCGACGCTTCGTCCGTGATAAGCGAGATCGATACAAGTTTTATGTACGCTCGGAATCGCGGTGACCATATTGGAATTAAATCTTCTAGAAATAAATTTTTCGCCATTACGACCAATCAAAAATGCGAACAGAATTTTCCGTTCATAAAAAATGGGTCCCCCAAAGAACTTTTCGCCTCCAAACACATAGATACCCTGAGTGTGGGTTGTATCGAGGATAAGGGGTTCGTATTTACCTACGACGCCTATTGTAGGTTTTATGACTTTATTTTTGTTATTTCCTCCGATTTTTTGACCTGAAATGTATTCCAACATATATAGAGCATCCATTGTGTGAAACTCGCACAAATTTTGATTAGAACTTTTTGAAGTAGATGATTTTCGCTGAAATAATATTATGTAAACATCGAGATTTTGAAAATAGATGGCCAAGCATTTTTGCCTGCTATGAGCAAAATCTTTAGAATGTTATTTTGGTTATAATCTTAATGGGGCCATTTTTTCAAATCGACCCCAAATCGGGCTTTTTAACACTACACAAAAGTCTTATGGCGAAAATTATCAGAAATTTATTGGGTAGGTATATCCTACACTTGCTGGAATACATTTCCGTTTTAAATCAAATTTTCACATTTAGAAATCTTCCTTAGTAAATGATATAAAATTAAGAAATCCCGAATTCCAATGAATTATAGATGATGTTTGAAACCTTTTCTTTCTTACATATATAATAATATAAATGCATATATCCTTTTTATTTAGCGATTGTAAATTGTATCTAAATGCCCATCGAGGATTTAGAAAATTTTAGCTTGTTTTTTAGCAAAATCTTTAAAACCTAAATTATTCATGGCCGAAATCGTTATTCTAACATTAGAGTGCTTATACTGTGAAATATGTGGCAATTTTTTTTTTACCTTGAACTTATTATTTACACTTAAATTTATATATATATCGATTTTTCATATAAATTTTAAAAATAATTCGATGAGGTAGATGTATAAGTCTATACTCACTGGAATATGATTCCTGTTTAAATCAAGGCTATGTGTGATTTAAGTTTTTTTTAAAATTAACCCTAAAAAAACCCGGGGATATGGCCTTTTACTACGCGATGTGTCTTTACTATTTACCAAAATTTACATAAATAAATTTTAAATGACACGAACGATAAAATTTCTTAACAAACTCTCTTTACAATTTTTTAAAAATATTTATTTAGAGTCGAATAATCTTAGAAATAAATAAACTCAATTTTTAGCATATTGTTATACTCGCTCCTCCTTTATAATTTAAAATTATGAAATATAGCGGAATATGTAGCACATATATTTATTATATTTATAGTTATTGCCTAAAATAACTACATTTTATAATAGAAAAGCAAATTGATAATAAAAAATTATTTTTTTTAATCAACTATATTAAAATATATTTTATTACAATTTTATGCCAATAATTCTTTTTTTAAAATTAATATAAATAAATATAATATATTGATTATTTTTAAAAAAAACAGATTGCAAGCCAAAATAAAATTTAAAGCCGAGCCACGTTTGCCAACCTCTCGTATTATGATTACCTGTTCATCCACTAGGAAAATCCCATCATTTCAAACTCTTTACAAGAATAAGTCAAACATTTACTTTTGCCGAAGGATTTATGACCCCATATATAAAAGGATAATTAAAAATCCTACATTCAGATATGCTTAAACACGGACAATATATGTTATGTAGTCAAATTTTTTTGACTAGCTTATTTACTTAAGGAGGGTAAACCGAACCTAATTCGGGACACAGAATCTTATAATTATAATCTTTTTTTGTATATATTAATATTATACCCAATTATATTATATATTAAGAATTATTATGTTAGTGATATAATAAATAATAATTTTACCAAACCAATGGATATTGTGATAAACTAGACTTAGAAATACTTATACTAGTCTTATATATTAATTGTAATTATATTGATAAAATATCTACATTATTATTTCTATAAATTATTTTAAAAAAATTTAAATCCAATTATATCTATACATGTATTTTATTATTAATAAATGTTAGAAAAAAAACAAATTTATTGTTACAATAACTTTGTCATTTAATAAAAAAAATTAGCATAGCCTTTTTTAATATTGGAAATATCTTTAAGATTTTTTTAATTAAATTGTATGTTTTAACAAAAATGTTCGCCTCTTCGCGGTTTGGGCAAAATTCTTTGAAGATCAAACAAAATTAAGATTTTTTTATGGATAAAAATCACAAGATAAATTTATAAAAAGATTTGGAATTTTGGGGAAAATTTTATCAAAAATCCTGCTTAATGCATTTTCCCAAAAAAAGCATTTTATTTTGATTTGCAAAAGTTCAAAATTTTTTGATTTTGTACAGCTTGTGAAATCCTGGTTTTAGAATTTAGCAATTATGCTATTAAACCAACCGGATCAGTGTTACGTTATTTGCCGTTTTTAACTAACCAGATGAGGTTTACATTATTATTACACCTAAAAAATAATTCATGTCAAATATACTTGGCAAAATAGAAAGAATATTACTTAACTTATATAAAACAAACTACTACATCTAGACACATTTATAAATACAATTAGTTAGACAATTTTTTATTATAATGAATGATAATAATATTTATTTTAAAAAACAATCCTTGGACTGAGTATAAAGTGATGTACTAGGTACCCCTCTTCATTTTCGTAATAGACTGTTAGTGATTTGTTGCAGTGAACATCCAATATGCCAAAGCCACCTTTGGATTCATCGTAAAATTTACTGAGGCACAATGGGCTAGAGGTTCTGTTTGTTTTGCGATTAACGTTTAATTTGGACCCGGATCCGAAAACCCCATAGTTCATTGTTTTGCCGGAGGATTCTTCTCTGTCGATTAAATGCTTTAACACATTAAATACTTTTATGTAATAAATCATATGGATGTTGAATTAGTTTTTGTAATTAACGCTACTACTATAGTAAAGGCGTTATCTTCAAGCGTTGCGATCCAGTCTTTAAAAACTAATTTAAGATAAAGCTAAAGAGATAATTATTTTATATAAAATTTAAATCGAATTCGCTACCCATCGTGACATGTTTTTCAAATTATATCATAAAGTTATAACGTTCCATTGTTCGCGTTATTAAATATATTAACGCTCAATGTTTCATCATTAACGCTACGAAAAATCCGCTGTAACATAACGCGTTTACTATAAATTAGGCCTAAGTCATAAAAAAAATATAACCTTATAGGAGTATATTTATAAAGATAACTGAGCATTTGTTGTGCTGAATGTATTTTCAAAGTTTCTTATTTAGTTATACAATGCAATTTAATAATTATTTTGATTGACTTATTTTTATAATAATACTGCTACCATATTAAATAATCTATTTATAGGAATGACCAAATATTAAAATACGTTTTTAAACTTCCATGACATGATTATGGCCGCTAAGGTATAATGATACGTTATATTTGTAAAACAGCTGTCTAAGATTTTTGACCAAACAGGGAATGGGACCATGTTTCGCAATGGAGTATATGGGTTGATGTCCAACAACTATCAATAAATCTGCTCTAATTATTAATAATTTAATCATTTATTTTCTGTATATTTTAAGATATCTATTAAAATCTGTCTTTTTAATATGTTTATAAAGTTTTAATTTATACTTTGATTTAGATAGGGTGTTTTCCAGCCATTTCCAGTGAAGGATTTTATTATTGGAATTAATGTATTTCAATTTCTCGAAACTTTTTTTGACATGTTTCGCGGTTGGGCATAAAACTTGGGTATCAATCATCACCATTTGCATAATTACATTAGCATTATCTGCTCCTTGGGTTGGACATTTCCCCGATATATTGTAAATGTTTGAATAATATAGGTAAGGAAAGTTCCTTAAAATATGATATAAATAAATAACAATATTATTTTTTTTAAAACGAAATTGATTTTAATCACCATTTAGAAGATCTGTAAGACATTTGCGCTGTAATATTACCATAATGGTCGTGCGCGCCCGCTATCGCATACCAGGGTATGTCTAAGCCCGGATAATTATACAAATTTTCGAACGAAGTCTGATTAAAGTCGAACCATTAAATATTTTAAAAACGCGATATATAAAATTGAAAAAATAAATAATTCTTTTAATTTTCGATTGTATTTAATGTCGCTAGGCGTGGGATGTATGTACTGGAATTCAGACTGGAATCACTAAAGTTTCAATCAATCATAGCGCAACATTAATTTTTTATTTTTTTTAAAGACTTGAACCTTGTCGGAATTGTATTTTAAACACGTGTTATTAGTATGGTAAGTAGTACCCTAACTTACCATTATGAATTTCAGATAACAATGCCCCCCCCCCCAAAAAAAATTCTAATCAAATTTTAATTTTTTTCCCATATATATTATTATTTGAAATTAACCCCATATTTTATGATAAAATTGTATGAAATTTATAACGTGTTTTGAAATACAATTTCGGCAAAATCAAATGTATTATAAAACAAACAAAAAAATTAAAAATGTAGGCATTTGATTTTAAGATTCGAATATGCTCTTTTGACATTGTATATTCAATTCACTATTCTTTGACTATATTACCCTTCCTTCACAGTTAGGGATACAAAAATACAGCATATTTTGTATACTTAATCGCTAATTCGCGCAAATTGTGAATGAGGGGTTATGCAATTATTGTGTCTTTTTTTAAATTCATTTACAACAAATTTATATAAAAGTATGGTAATATACTACAATTTACATTGAACCTAGAATCTGTATCATTTATTACGCCTTTGGGATAAAAGTTATCGCCTAATAGAAAAACAAAAGCCGGGTGGTTCTGATTGGCAAATAGTCCCAAGGTTTTAGCGGTATTCCTACCTATATGAGATGTGTAAGGATGAAAATCTTCCCCTCCAGTGTCGCCAATTGTTATGAACGTTAATAATGCGTCATTTGGGTCTGATTATTATTGTTATTATATTCGTGAAAACTTAGATAAATAATCCGGTATTTATAAGAAACTAAAATTTAAAGGGGTTTATTTTAATGCTAGGTGTTCTGTAAATGAAAGCCTCTTTTCTTTTTTGGTTAAATGGCTTAAATTTGAAAGAGCAATTTTCTAGATTTGATATATCATCATATACTGATATCAGTTTCATTCATATTGAATAGTTTAATTTTCGTTCCTTTTTATGTAATTCAGAGATCTTCAGGCCCGGCACGGGTACACAGGCCGTGCCGTATTTTAATTTTTTAAATATACCCGGGCTTAAATATTTTTTTAAAAAAATATCCGGGCCGGGCCTTATATTTCAAAACCAAATATTTTAAATCGTCATTATTAGCTATAAAAATTAAAAACAAATATAATATTTTTTAAAAAATCAGGGTCGGGCCTAAAAACCCTAGCCGGGCCGTGCTTGATTGGGTCTTAGCATGATTTTTGGTCGAATAAATGAACCAGAACTAACCCAACCAACCAAATCGATCTGGTCGATAGACCAAAGCACCAATTTAGGTTGGGTCGGTGCTCGGGTATACGGATTTGGTCGACCAAATCGATCCATTTGGTTGGGTTATTTCTGGTTCATTTTTTCGACCAAAAACCAGGGTCGTGGTCAAGTAAAACCAGCCATTTACACATTACTAATAATAAATATATCATATTCTCATGGAAATGATTGCAATTGATTAGTATATAGCAAACGTAGCACCGTATTCCATAAAAAAAAGGAGTTATAATGAGGAGACCTTTATTATATTTCGAATAACCTTTTATTATATTTTGATAATTTATAACTTCCTTCTTTCAAATAATCAGTACTATCATATAACTTTTTTTTTGGCTTCCAAATAATTAGGCCCATGATATGCTCAAAATAAAATTATAATAGCCATCAAATTTTAAAGATAACTACTTTCTTATGTTTATAGGCTTATACATATGCAAAATTATATTTTAAGAAAAAAATCCAATAATGTCGCTAATTTTTTTCCCCCATTATGGTGTATTTATTAATAAAAAAAGTGCGAAAAAATAGTAGGATATAGTTTTCGATAGAAATGAGAAATAGTAAAATCAAGGAAATATATCGCTATTTATGGAGAACTATGGGCTATTTTCGCGCTTTCTTTACTATATTATGCAGCAGAGGCATGCTTCTTTTGGGTGGCCTTGAATATAATTGGGTAATTGATCCATAAACCTAGTTCTTAGCTGGAAGCTATCATCCCTCAACCTCAGTTTTCTTTTTGCAAAATATTGCTTAATTTTGTAGAAAGCGTGAATAAATTAACTCCGCCATCACTGCTCAGTCGATTTCTCTTGAGTGTTGTACTAAATTTTTAACCGCTTAAGCCGATTTTTTAGCGCCTTTAAAAAGTAGCTTAACCCAATTTGTAGCCGAAAACTTCATAAAAATACAGCTCAAATTTGAAAGAAACTAATATAAATTAAAACGCCTTAATGTTAACGGATTTTCTCGGTTACGCGTCTGTAGATTGATCAACATTTATCCATTTACTAAACTATGTCCCTAATAACGTCAGTGAAAAGTCTTTATTTATTATTTGTTAAAAATAATATATATATATATATATATATATATTATATATATATATATATATATATACCTCGTGTTATAAAAGAAGTATCTTTTGTATCTTTAGTCAAAACGCATTGGGGTATTATTAAAGTCTCGTTATCTAAAATATATAAAATAAATTTAAACATCCAATTTCATTAAAAAAGATTTAAGTTCACTATCCGCCGAAACCCGGCCCGTTAACATTTATATAACGTTTTTTCCGCCCCGTACAAATTGGTATTTGGTCGGGTAATAAAATTTTTTTTTGTACAAATTGACTCGTAAAGACTATACATTATTCTAAGATTAACAAAAAAAAAATTACGAAATAAAATATTTTGCGCCAGTTACACCGAGGCTAAACCCGGGTAGCCCATATCATGAATTATTTTACCTAATATCATCCATTTTATTTTACACTTAATACCATCCATCCTTTTTTTTATTTAAATAAGATGTTTGCCAAAATGCACCCTTAGCAATAATTTGATTTGTTTTAAAAAGAAAAGGAATATCCTATTTTACGATTCGACTTTCTAGTTATTTGAAACGAGTAATATCTAATTATTTTTAAAAAAAAGATAAAAAAAATGGTGGCTTATTTATTGTAGTTGTGTGTAGTGTTGTTAAACGGCTTTTAAGCCGATTTTTAAAAACGGCTAACTCAATATTTTATCCAGAGGAATACTACTCAAGCCCGAAGATTTTGCTTACAGAAGGAACAAAGGTCTGGACATATATTAACGAAATCTCGAGGCTTGGACAATTTATTTCTGACTAAAATATTGAGTTAGCCGTTTTAAAAAATCGGCTCAAAACGAGCCGTTTAACAACCGTTGTGTGTGTGTAAATTGCTATATTTTTCGCCATTTTATCCCATTATCTGGATCTAGCTAATAAAACAGTCCTTATCACCTTAGCTTTTCTGAAAATATCCCTCAACAAGGAAATCGTAAATAAGTCAACTGTTTCTTGGGATTTTCTTGCACGCGTCTGTAGCCAAATCCGTAGATTTTTTTTAGCTATTTTCTAATTATACTTATTAGATTTAGATATTTCTAAAGAGTTTTATATGTATCGATATCAATAATTTTCCCTTCTTTTTTTTACAGTTATAACAGCGTCAATTCCAGAGTTTGGAAGAAAAGAAAATCTTAAAGGAAGTTTTATTTTTCTGCCCAAAATTTATGAATATTAATAATTAAAATTAAAAAAAAAATTTTTATTCATAAAAATAACAAAATATTTAATTTAAGGGTTCGATTTGAAGCTATTTTTAAAAAGGGCTAATTCAATATTTTCGCCAGAAAAAATATTGTGCCTAAGCCTGAAAATTTCGTTAGTTCAAACCTTTATGCTATCTATGGTCAAAATTTTAAGGTTTGAGTAATATTTTTTCTGGATAAAATACAAAGTTAGTCAGCTGTTTAATAACACTACCTCTAGAAAAATATTTTAAATAATTTTAATTTGAAGCGGCTTTCAAACTTTGGTTTTTTCTTCATCTAATATTGTTTATTTTGTTAAATTTTTGAAATGTAAACAAGATATAATGATTAAATTATTGTTATTGACGCATTTATATGAAAACTATCTAAAACTTTGAAATTTAATGCATAATCTACCATTTCAAGATAAAATATAACTAACGTTACAATCTTACTTTTAAACCCGAAGTTTTGTCTTTGTTTTGATAAAAAGTGCATTAAAGTAAAATAAATATTTTTAAAAAAAATATCCGAATTATTGATCGAATACGAATGTATCACTATTTGCATTCCGATATCGAATAATTCGAATATTCGTTTTGAGATCTATATAATACATTTTTTACCGTAACTATTTGAAACCGTAAATCCGGTCGTGAATGGAGCCGCTAAAATCCGTGTTAATGAGTTAATATTATAAGCGAAAACCGTGTGGTTGAAAGATATACCAATATTGGCAAACCGGAAAGCGTTATAATTCATGGTAAGGCAAAATAGTGATAACAAAAGGATTGATAATTGAACAAGGCATATAAAATTCATATTCTTTATATTTTATACGATAAAAAAAATATATTTATTATTAATTTGACACCTTTGCAAAAAAAAATGAAATGAATAATATTAAAAACCTTTTTAAAATCAATTAAATTTTTGGAAAAAAAAAACTATCATTGACTTAAAACAAACAAAACAAAAATATTAATTTAAATATTAATATTATTTTATTTATTATGATGATAAATATAATTAGTCATTCAACTCATTTTAACATCAAAATATAAATATAAATTAGAATATTTAATTTTTTGAATTCCTTGCAACAGTTTTAAGGCCGTGTACTAGGTCGATTTGTTATTAAATAGCCTAATAGTGCTCACAAATTGAGCGTTTCAAAGGCTGAGTTGCAAGCGCAAATAATGCATTTCAAATGACCTCGGGCAAATTGGTAAGATTACCGTTTGGCTTTAGCAGCCATTTAATAAAACGCAAACAAGTTTGCTTTTTCAACACTTTTTTTATTCTTCATTTTGTTATATTATATAAAAATGTAATATAAATAACTTACTTATAATCTTAAAAAGGAATATTTAGAAATTATAGAAATAAAGAAGGCAGACGATAATTAATTTCCAAAAACAACTTATCTAAAATTTTGAATCGACGATATTAATGAAAAGGCAACCTCAATTTAAACACGGACGCGTTACGTTTTTATATTAAAAAATTACGCCAAAACGTAAACGCTCAATTTGTGTGCACTAAGAAACGAAAAAAAAAACAACGAGAAAAAAATGCGAAAAATAACATTACCAAATACTTAAAACAAACCAAAAAAACGTAGCAAGCGATTTTTTAAATATTTTTTAAAAATGTTTTATAAACATTTTCTTTTTTAAATTTAATTTATTAAGTGGCCTGTTAACCATATGAAGTGAAAATTTGTGGGAGAGGGGGGGGGGTACTTTAGTGGTCATTCCTAACTAGTAGCATCAATGTGGGAAGCAGAACAGATAAGGCCCACTAAAAAACATTGGATGATAACCCTACAAAATTTTTAAATAAATTTTTTTTTGCTTATTTTAAAGAAAATTATTAATTTGATGATGGAAAAATTTTTTAAAAATGCACTTCTTCTAGTTTATTAATAAACTAGTATTACCACTGTTTCCACCATCGAAGTTTCGGAAATATATCCCAAAAATACTTACCTTCGGATAGCTTTATTTTAAAATTTAGTAATATTTTGACTATATATTAGGTTACAAATTAAACTTATATATATAAACTCTTGAAACTAATTATAATCAATTAATATCATCAATTATGATAAGCTTTAGAACGTCAAATTACCTATTTTTTAAAAAATAATTATTTAATATGAATAAGAATTAAAAAATAAAAAATTTAAGCCTCTATTTACAAATAAACAGTTGTAATATGGGGATAGGTTCTAAATCGATAAAATAAAAATAGCTAAAAATTGATAATCTCGTTTATATCGCCTAGGAATATTTAGAGTAAATTTGAAATTAATATTAATACAAGTATTTAAATCGAATTTTTTTTAAAAAAATCCCTAAAAAAATGGAGGAAATATCATCCATATTCCCATTTTGATTCCCAGATTGGTATTCATATTGGGAGCAATAATGAATGTTTTGGCGGTTTAGACCGGAAATCGAAATATGGTTCTATCGAAAAACCTTCTGTAAAATGCGTGATATAATAGCTTTATAAAGCTTGATAATCGAAAGATGAAATATATTTCTTTGGAATTTGAAAAATGGTTATAAAAAAAAATGTCATCGCTTTTTGGCTCTTTAGTCAATTAATATCAATTATATATTTTAAAATAAATATTGAATACAAGATTTTATATAATTGTATCTCAAAAGACTATCCATCAATTTAAGAATTATTTTAGAAAGGATGAAAACGTATCTTGTTTTAATCTTAAAGGGATCATTGGGTAGAACGGAACTTTGGGGAAATTCTGGAATGTTAAAGGAACGAGAAAGGGAAGAAAGAAAGAGGAACGATGATTAGGGATAAAAAAAATAGTATAAAAATTTTGATTTCATTTTTATAACATAATTATAAATGTGATATATATATAATAGCTGCTCATTCATGAATATTCGTTTTTTTTCTTCTTTAATCTCAGTTTGCTAAAAATTACAATAGATTTATTATTATTATTATTATACTATCTATATGGAGCAAGAATAAATTTTATGATTAAGATCGAGTCTATACGCTAATTTGGTTGGGACTTTTAAAGCAATATACAAAAATATCTAAAAATAATGATAAGGTCAAAATATGATTATTAATTATCTCCATGCATGAGTAAAATATAAACAATCCTTTTTTTGTAAGTTCTGTTCGGGTGAGATATTTAATGGTTTGATATTTTTTTTAAATTATTTTTTATAAATCAGATAAAAAAAAATTTAAATATTAAAATTATAAATCAATTAGAATAAAATTGGATATTTTTTTTTATAATATGAAATATGTTATATAAATATAGATGGCGTTAAATATTATTTATATTATTTTTATAAATTTAATACTAAATATTATACTAAACCTCACAATTTGTTATTTTACAGGTAGAACCTAGTTATTTAATATAATTTAAAAAAGTACGTATATTATTGAAGCATAAATCCGACATTTAATATCTACACATATATAACAAATGACCATAATCGAGAATAAATAGATCTGCCATATATAATCCGACCGAAGTTGCTAATCCACTGCCACCATAATATTTTCACGGAAGGCTGGTAAAGAGAAACCAAAAAATATTCTTTAATATCTTTATTTAATTTATTTTTAATTTTATAAAAATTACCACTGAAAAACTTTACAATTTTTACAGCTATACTATATATATTATTATTTTAATATTATTTACCAGAGTTGTTAAAGGATCTAGATTCTGTATCTAGATATAAAAATGTGGTATCTGTATCTAGATAGATTTTTGATTAAATAATCTAGATATTATTTTAGACGTTTCATCTGTATCTAGATATATTTAAAAAGTATCTTTTAACAACTCTGTTATTTACATATTAACATTTATATAATTTAAAAGGTCCTTAAAAAAAGAAAAGATTTTTACAAAAGGTCAAAGTAAAAAATATTCAAATTATAGGTTATCAAAAAAAAAGAAAAGATTTTTACAAAAGGTCATAAGTTACAAAGTAAAAAATATTCAAATTATATATTAACATTTCCCCCCCCCCTTTTTTATGTCTTCATTCCTCAGTTTCTTATCTTCACTTCCAGTCATTCGTTTCTCAATTGCTCCATTAGTCATTTGTTCGTATATCTTTAGATTGTTTGTTATCGAACGTCGTGAAACATCGTTAGTTGAACATTGCTTGTTGATTTGCTGTTTGATCATCCCATTTCTCTTTCAAAATTTTATATATATATATTTCTTACAAAATTTTATTTATTCATAACAATCATTTTCTATGTCGTAGGTCATATTCTCGCTTTTGAATTTTCGAATTTTGAACTTGAACTTGTTCACTTCTTCCCCCTCTAAAAATTTTTTCAGTATTATCTATTGATGCTCTCTTTTTTATTTGATCCAAATGTCTCCTGATAATATGATGTCCATTGTCTATTCTGTACGTCAAGTTTCCTTCTTTTTGTATCACCTTCATTTGTCCCAAATATTTTCTTTAAACGTTTTATACCAAATTTTTTCTCCAACATCTATGTCTCTATTGTCCGATATTTTCCTCTTAAATATATTTTCTTTTTCTTCCATTGGTTTGATTAAATCCCGTTTAGTCCTCATTGTTCTTGAAAACATCAATTTGCTAGGTATCATCTTTGTTGTATCATTAGGCGTGTTTCTATAATTGAACAAAAATTTTTCCAACGCAATATCCAATATCCACATCTAAAATAGTGATTTGTAGGTTTTGTTTTAAAAAATAGAATTCTTTTGGTTCTGCTGTAAGGGATCTTGTCTTATCCCCTATATTTTTTAAGAACTTTAAAGTTCCGCTTGGCATATGTCCAAGGGAAGAGATAACGATCGGTGTAAAAATCTAATTTGTGAATTTGAAATATTTCATTGTTTTTTTTTCTCAGCTATATCAACCGGATTAGAATTTAAATTTTTTGGGAAAGAAGATACGCATGTGAAGTCCCAAATTAAGGATTTCCCTAAAGACCAAGGCACGGAAGTTAAGCCATCTGGTCTTTAGCCATCATCTTATGATAAATTTATAGGCTCCAGGATGTTTGGTATTCGAGCCCTGGTAAGAGAGCGGCTAATAGCTAAATTAATTGCTGCAAGCCTTGCATGCCTGCCTTGACTATAAATACAATTTTGACCATGTCTCCCTTTGGAGTCAACTAATATTTTACATTTGATGCATGTATGTAGTTGAACAATGTTACATCCAAGTCGATGGCCTATGACAACTCTTAATTGTTCATCTGATAAGAGGTTACCTAGGTTACGACTTGGTAATGCTTCCAACCATTCATAACCACTAGTACAGTTAGCATTCTGTAATAGTTGAATATACTCCAAAGGGGGGTTTGATGAGATTATTTAAAAAAAATTTTAATTAAAGGTTCGAAAATAGATTGGTGTGTTATTGTGGGTAAGACAGCTTCAGGTGGAGCTAAAGATACCCAGGCTGTCAAGGCTGAGTTTAAAAGGTTATCTTTAGTAGAGATAAAAGAAGATATCATGGCGTTATTCATCAAACGCGATGCCAAAAATGAGGAAAGAGATATAAGATTTAAAGGATATAAATCTAAACCACCCATTTTCGAGGGTAATTGTGAAAAACCCCAATTAAAATCTTCCAATTTAATATTTAAAATATTTTCTAATAAACTTCTAAAAAATTCATGAAGACGATTAATAATTTCATTATTTGAAAAAAAGGAAGAAGATCTAAAAATATGTAAAATCTTTGGTAAAAATAAATATTTTTTTAAAAGAAAAAAGCTCTGGTGTGAAGGAATTTCGTTTAAAATAGTTTTAAGTCCTAATAAGTCTTCGAAAAATTTTTCCACGAACCCCTCACAGTTGGAAAAACTGCTTAAAGGTGAACTTAGACGATTAATTTCACTTTTTTTAATAATTTTAAACCCTTGGACTTTAAGAGTATTTGAATTTAAAAAGCATATTTCAGATTTAGCTTTATTTAGAGTAAGGCCTATGTTTAGAGAATTCTTCTCTGTATATTCTAACGCTGCAAGAATATTTTTAGAAGGTCCGTAAATGGTACCATCATCTAGATACCATATGTTTAAATCTAAATTAAAAAAGGATTTTAGACAATGAACTAGGTTATGTATACCGAAACTAAAGATCAGAGGGCCCAAAGGGTCTCCTTGTTGAATACCTTCGTCAGATGGAATAGTATATTCCCCGAATTTGAGAGGGGTTCTACAGCCATAAGACTGTTCAATAAATCTTGCATAAACAGGGTATTTTTCATAAAAAATGTTCAAAAATGCTTTTAAGGATAAAAAATTAAAAGCATTTTTAAAATCAAGCTTTATTAAAAATAATTTATACAAGTTTTTAATTCTTATCAACCACCATTCCTACATTTTTATTTTAAAATCTCGTTGTTAATTTTCTATGAATGTTAATCAAATTAATATTCAATTATATTTTATAATTTATTTTAAGAATATTATGCCAATAAGATTGATAATATTGTCTTTTAAAATGGTTCTTAGGGATGACGGTACACTGGCTACCACCCAGACACTCATGAGAGGGTTTAAGCCTCTAGCTTGTAAAAGGCTAAAAAAACACACATTTGATTATCTAGCAAAAATAATTTTTGAAATTTTTACCACATATAGGATACAAAATAAAGTGACCAAATGCATTACCGACAATGCTAGAAATTATATAAAAGCTTTTAAGTAAAAAAATTATAATATATTTATATTTATTTGAAAATTTATTAGAGTATATGAACAAAGAGAGGAATAGGATGCTGAAATAGTTCCTCTGCCATTATATTAGTTCTATTTGAAAATCAAAATACTAATGATAGTATTGTAGACTTACCTAAACATCATTCCTGTTCAGCACGCACTTTAAATCTCATTGCAAGTGTTGACATTGAAAAGGCAGGTAACGATGTCCATTTTACAACCATTTCAAAAATTACATTTTCTAAGTGTAAGCTATTGTGAAATTAACATGGGCAATCTTCAAACTGTGCAGCCATTTTTAAGGAAAACGTGGAAAGATATCTGATTAAACCGGTTATAACAAGATTAAACTCTTCTTATAACTCAAATTAATAGTCTTGTTAAGGAGAATTGTCAAAAATTTGACGAATCTTGCAATAAATCTGAATTACAGAGATATCAGATATTGAAAAGTCTCAGTTAGTGTTAATTAAGAAATATGATATATATATATATATATAATTTTACGATTGCTATGGCTATTTTATTTTTAGAGAGCGAAGGAAAAATGAATTTGGGATATCTAACTCCCACGATAACTATTATAATATTAAAACTTAAAAAATGGCTTTAAATAATTTCAAGTTTTGTAAACCACCTATTAATTCAATCCTGGAAGGCATAGATAAAAGATATATAGTTCAAATATTGCTTACAATTTATATTTTGATTATTTTTTTATTTTCAAAATAGATTAAAACACATCTATAAAGATAAATATATAATATCCAGAATAATTCACCCGCTATTTAAATTGGATTGGCCCTGAATAAAATTAGTCATCAAAGGAAGAATGCAAGAACTTATTTCCAGTTTGAGAAAAGGACTTGATAAAGAAAATTACTTTATCACACATACCAGAAGATTTTCTGTTAAAGATTAATATGATGAGGAAATGAATGAAGGTTCCTTGTGAAGATGATCTATTAAGCTTTTTTCAAAATAATATAATTCTTTATATATTTATAATAAATTCCCCGAACTAAAATTTTTATTTATTAAATATTATACAACTCTCCCATCCTCTCCGCCTATTGAATGTGTGTTTAGCATGGCGAAAGCTGTTGAGCATTAAGCGCTTTTGTTTGTCTGATCACAATTTTGAAAGTCAATTGTTGCTAAAAATAAATAAAAAATTGTTATAAAAAGATGTAATATATTATTTTTGTACAATTTTATCTATAATTATAATATATATATATACATGAAATTTTATATTTATAGTTTTATTTATATTATATATAGTAGGAAAAAAATAAATATTTTTTTTTGTATATAATATTTAATTTATTAAGTAACGAGTAACCCGTAACTTTTTTGAATAGTCCGTAGCGCTTGTTCTGTTTTTAAAAAGGTAACGAGTAACGATAACGAGTTCCTTTTTTCATACGTAAAACGAGTAACTGTAACGCGTTTCATTTTTGTACAGCATTACTAAAACATAATTATAAATTATAAGCGGATCTTATGGATCAAGACATTGAGTCAAAGCTCTTTTACCTTCAATAGATAATACCTCATATCTAATAATAATATAAAAAATATGTTCCAAAACACCTAATATATCTTGGAGTAAATGTGTACACTGTGATAAAATCTACAGTTTCCGGCTACAAATATATAATATTTCTAAATTCTATTTTTAATATTTTTTAGCCAACCTTAAAAATCATATTTAAAAAAAATATCACACCCGGAATTAATTTACCAAACTAAAGAAATAATGCCCAAACATTTATTGGGTATAAGAAAACTACAACCAGGGAATTACAAACATTTAAATAAACTCATACTCAAATATATTATTAAAAATAATTTACCTTTCAACCAATTTGACTCTAAAAAAAATAATATAAAATTTTTTTTATAATAAAATATAAAATACATTAAATGCCTATAGATGGCGTTAAATATTTTGTCTATTATTTTTGTAGACTTTATTATTAAATATTTATATTAATCCTCTTGATTTTTAATTTTAAAGGTAGCACTAGCTATTTAACATAGTTTAAAAAATGCGGAAGTTTATAAAGCATATACTTGATATTTAAAATCTTTTCTTACATCACAAAAGACCATAATTGAGAATAAAAAGATTTGCCATATATAATCCGAATTGGTAAATGTAAAGATTAAGATCATACTTCAACAGGATCATTTCTGTAGTGTGATACGTGCGAAATATCGCCTAAATGTAAAGTCGACACGCAGTCACGATGATGACCATCGTGGCGTTTTTTCCTTAGCGCGAAATTTGCGTAAGCACTTTTTCCCTCTACCTCTCTCTGTTCGGTCTGTGCGAGAGGATACGGAAATTGTGTTTATTTTGAAGAGCGTTCCTCCTTTTGGAGCGGTCCAGGAGTATTCCCTCCTAACCTTGTAATGGGAATATTTCTTACTAAGACCGCTTCATGTATTATGGGGAGGAGGGAAGAAATTCGCGATCTGAGTGGCTCATTCTTATTTCAAATTAAATAAGATCTTACAAAGATTTTATTGAAGATTTGACTAAGATTTTTGATCTCTAATAATTAGCAATAAAAACAGGACCGTTATTTTAATTTTTTAAATATACCTGGGTCAAAAACGAATATCATTAAAAAAAATCGTTTGCTTAAATTATTTATTCTATCTTCAGAGATATTGGACTATAAAAAAAGTAATTATTCCTTTCTATTTGTTATTTCCTTAACAATTTCTTTTGATTCTTACCTAACCAATTTTTGCACTCCTGGTAGAAGAAATTCTGAGAGATGCTCAATTTATCCAAAGATTATATCGTTACAATAATTAATTCGTCTGCTTTTTAGTTATGATTATTTATATCGTCTGTTATTGTTACAAAGTTAGATATAGCGAGAAATATTTTAATAAATTTTTTACAATTATGGAAGATTTTCAAGATATAATACATCGTGCAAACATAGAAAATAGCAAGTTGTTGAGTAATGTTTCTGCCAAAAGGAATAGAATCGAGGCAATGAAAACAAAACTAAGAGAGGAAAATTTAAAAATTGACGAAATTAAAGTAGGTATGACACTCTAATTTAATAAAGAATATTTATCCTTAGATGTCTATAGACTATTCACAGAATGTGATTGCCAAAACTGAAGAATTAATAAAAGAATATAAAAATCAACTAGATCACCTTAAACTATCGATTAATACCTTGAGGGATCAATCTCATCTTAAAAGCAAATTAGAGGAATGCATTAATTACAGTAATGGAATTGATATTTTTTATTACTGAAATATATTTGATATCAATATATGCCTTTAATAATGTCTAAAAAATACACAATGTAATAAATTATAATTATCTTTAGATATCAAAAAGAATAACGAATATTTATGTATAATTAAGAAATATAAAACGATATTTGATAAATTTGATTGTGAAAAGAATATAAAGAAATCAATATCAAGGTACAATATATTTTTTTATATAAATATACTATTTAATCATTATATGATAATAGTTCTGACAATTCTACAATATTAGAGCATTATACCCCAAATATTGGAAAAAGTTTTATAATTCGTTTTGTTTATCTGTAAATTCATATTTGTTTAGCTAAAAAATTTAGAAAATATGAAATTATAATAAAATTCGCCGAATATTATGTAGCAAAGAATGGATTGAGAAACGACCCCGCACATAGCACAATAGCTGATAATAAGGTGGCCTATTTTATTTAAAGCGTTTGGCGTTACCCTTTAATTATTAAAAAAATCATATTTCTTTCTAATTTATATTATAATAAATATTTCTATTTTTAATAATTTTGATTCAAATGATTCCAAATTGTTGAAAAATATTTTTTTTAAATTGAATTTTGATAAAATTAAAAAATTAATTGAATATTTATTTATTTTTTACCTAGCAAACAACATATGATTTATTTTTTTAAATTTTTTTAACCCAATTAAAATTTTCAAATTAATGAAGATTATAAAGACAAATAATAAAACAGTCGACGCTGGTAAAAATGATTATGGGGAAAAGGCGAACAAATGTATAGATGATATTGGATTAATTAAAGAAGCCATTTTTACAGATAATGAGGTCTCATTTTATTAACTAATTTATTATTACAATATAACATTCATATTCTAATATTTTGTAGAATTTGTATAATAATGATATTAATCACGGTATGAGTGAAAAAAAAAATTCCCAATCGAAAAATGATTGCCAAAAGGTCAACAAATATTTGTCGAATTTTAACGCGGATTTCGAGAAAATCATGTCATTTGACCATAATATTTGTTTAAACGATCCCTTTAATACCTACAAAACGAATGATAATACAGCTGATAGGCATGGACATGATAGATACTTGTTACATAATGGAGCCGTTTCACTTGGTGATAAAGAAAATTCGCTTTCATCGAGTAACGTATCCGTGTGCTCTTTAAATTCTGGTAGCAAAGACTTAACAGCGATTAATTTGAAAGGAGTGAAAAAAGGCATTGCCACTGCCATAGTGGCACCTCAGCCAAGTCAGAGCCAATCAGAATCACATAAAGGAGAATCAAATTGTAGCATTTACGATAATATTACTCAAATCAACGAACGCAATTTTCAAGTGGTAAGCGAAGGTGAAAGAAATATAGGTGATAATGAACGTGTTGATACCCATAAAGATGTAATGACAAATAAATTGACTTTAGAATCGAAATTTTTAATAGGATTTAATAATAATCTGGACAAAACTCCGAAGAATTTCCCGTATAAAGATGTAATAACAAATAACTCCGAGGATAATAGTGCCCGTGAAATGACACCAATAAACAATGATTTAAATCCAGGGCAAGAACTATATACAGAAGAAAACAGAGTGTTGATATCAACTCATACATTGACAGGGTGTGATGATAGATATGGATTGTATGATAACAAAATGGCAAGGCCTGAATTTATGAAGAACAATTTGAATCTAATCTCTAGTGTAGATGAAAACAAATTTTTGGGAGAAAAAAATCTATTAAACATAAATTTTGAAGCTGAAAGTGAGAACTTATCCTTATATTTTCTCAAATATTTAATAATTATTTTTTTTCCCTCTATAATGGTGTCAAGAATCAACATTGTCTCAAAAATCCAAAATTAGTGTGTTTGATAGGTAAATATTTTTAATCTTAAATTAGAGCTATTTATTTCATAAAGTGAAAAACATGCTGAGAACAAAAAGAAATTTTTTGATTCTCAATCCTCATATAACAGCTGTTTTAAATCACGTTTTATGTTTGAGAATGATGATGCAACTGACCAGGTAATCTATAATCCAGGTGTAGAGGTAGAAAGCGAAAAAACGTTTAAACTAAAAACAAGACAAGATTTTTGTAAGTCAAAATGAGGCATTTTTTGTTAATGTCAATTTTTATCTAAATGAAAAATTTGTGATTTAACAATGATTCCAAAACTAAAAAATACATTTTTGTCATATATTAATTATTATTTTAAAACTTAAAACTCAGGAGTAAAAATATAAATATAAAATTTCACATAAATAAGGAAGGGTGTAGGGTAAATAAAAAAATATAAATTCAATGTTAATTTAATATATTTTTTTATTAGTTAATGAAAAATTAGCAAATGATAATCATGAAAATGATCAAATCAATGATAATACCATCAACATTATAAAAACGTTACAAAATGAGAGGATCAATCTTAATTACCATCCTAACAATATTTCAGATGTGCATTTTAACATTGCGGGGAAAATGGAAATAAATGAATCTTCCTTGGATAAAAATGAAGGGAATGATGTGTTTTCAAATTTGTTCAATAAAAATACTGAGGACAAAAAGAATGTTAGAAATTTTGATATTGATAATATTATGGCAGGAGAAATTAAATCAAAGGACAAAGATGATATAATCAAAAGTGATTTTAATTTTATGATTACAGAATCTGGAAATAATTCAGTATGTGGAATATTTGGCAATAACTTTAATCAAGAATCACCATCAGAAGAAAATAGATTCAACTTCCAATTCTAGATAAAAATTATAAAATTAATTGCACCTTATGTTTGTAATTTTCATATAAATCATAATTTCCTTTAGAGATGTCTTGTTTTTATTATTTCCTATCTGAAAAATGTAATATATACTCAAAAAAATAAATTATATTCAGAATCATAATTTTTGCATAATGGAATCTGCAAAATTTACATCAATATCGTGATTATATATCAGCTGTTCAGTCAATTGTTTAATATCTTCAAATGTTAAATAAGTAAAATCCATTGGTTCCTTTTCTATTAAATCAAAAATATCATTTTTGCAATCATTATCCACATGTTTTGAAAATGCTATAGCAATAATATGTAAATCTAATTTTTGACATTGAAATCTCCAATCATTATCTACAACATTATTTAGAGCTAATTTGGGCCCTGATTTTAAATAATTGTCTCCTGAGATTAAATCATAATTTATGTTTGAAAATTCAATAGATCTTAATAATTTTGATGATATACCATTTCCTTTAGCCTTTACAAAACTTTCCTTGAGGCACCAATTGCATAAAAACCTTTCTATCTTTGTTGAATCTTTAGCTGCACTTTTTATATATTTCCATTCATTATCAGTAAATACATTTCTCATCGTGTTAAAAAAATTTTTGATATCTTTTTTAATTACAATATTTGAATTATCTTTTTTTTCATTAAGAGGATCATTAACAACAAAATTATCGATTGACATAATATCAATGCCAACATTATAAATGGGGGAACTTGCTAGAACACTATAACTTCCTTGATGAGATATGTTGAATGAATAATTATGCAATGCAGTCATATATAAATTGTTAATATCACCGGTTCCAGGCTTATCAAGTTTAATATCAAGAATAGGCTTCCCATGGTTTGAGCGTGTAAATTCAATATTTATGTCATCCGTTTTGGTTTTTATGAACTGTTTGAGTCTACATAACATAAGATGAAGCAGTAAACGTCCAGACAAAGCTGCTTTCACATCCCGTATATATTGGAATTTAAGAATTCTGGTTTTCTCCTCAGAAGATAGACATTTGGATGCAAAACATAGATCGTTGGGGTTTAAATGCCATTCTTTAAAATTAAAGGCCCACCTGTAAGAGTCCATTTAAATTGCGATGCCGCACCCATAAAAACATTTATGTTTTTTTTAGTTGATTAATAAAAATTTTGTTTACGAGGTTAATATTATTTATTAATAATAATTTTAGCTTAAATTCCATTCATGATATTAATTTAAGAATTATTTATTTAATTTTAGCTTAAATTCCATTCAGTAATTTAAGAATTATTTATTTTAATAAAGAAAAATTGATCTTAAAAACAAAATTTGAAATGGATCAGCAGTTAAATCGTGTCAGATTGGATACTACTATGAATCTTATTATTATCCATAATATTTTAAGGAGAAAAAACTTTAAGTAGCTGTACTCACTATTAGATTTTATTGGATAGTTTAGTACACTTCTTTTAAGCCCTGGCTATATTAAATTTATTTGCTTCAGTAATCTACAATAACCATTATATTATTAAATTATACATTTTTATTTAACTGATGTTTATAATGACATTCATGAGAAAAGAATTTAATTTTTTCAATGATAGTTAACGAACATTGGGAAATTCGCTAAGAATTTATTTTCTGGCCCATCACCCTTTTCATTAACCTAATAAATGGCGTATAATATATATAGACATTTGATCTGACATTTGCGAAGGCTTTAGTTAGTAGAATAAAGAGAATTCGTATCATTTTTTTAAAAAAATTAAGTTATTACCCTCGAAAGGAAAGTCAAAAAATATAACACGAGAGGTAACGTAGGTGATTTGGCATACCCACCCAATTTGTATTGCATATATTTTAGTAAGTTTGACAAACTTAAAACTAAATTTGACCATATATTGATATTCTCACATAACCATAAAATCAGGTGCATCACTGGCCTTTATAATTCCAAGTCAACTAAAAAAGTTTATATCCCTCTGGGATTTTTAAAAATATATTATACTTTTTAGATAAAAATTTGCAAACCCTGAACTAGTTCAAAATTTTATATTTTATCATTTGTTATGTTGTTATATACAAATACAAGCATATATTGAAAGTTAAACAACGCAAGACAATTGGTAAGCTAAAGATAATATTTTTAATACAAAATATATCTATTTATTACAATATTTGATACATAATTTATAATATCAAAGGGCATTTAATATTTGTGATTTCGAATGAAAAATTTTGCAAGTAAAATATTACAAAAGTTTTAAAAAAATATCCATTTTTTCCCTACGATGTCTATTATAGTATTAAATATTTGTGATTGCGGATATAAAAAAATTTTCAACTAAAGAATTACAAAAGTGATAAAAAATGTTTATATTTATTCCTACACTGACTTAATAAATAAGGGTTTTTAAAATATTTTATTCTAAGGCATAAAATAAAATTGGATGCTTTAAAATATTATAGAATTTCAATGCTAAAATCTGTCTATTTTAGAATTTTTTCAGAAATCTGAGTATTATTACAATTGAAAGTTTCAGAGAATATAAGTTTACCAACTATTCTGAGACCGAAATTATTTGAGGTCCTCAAATTGAACAGTTATTTTTTTTGCTCTTTTGGATTTACTGCTTAAGTAATTTATTTTGCAGATATTGAAAGGATGGACTGTAAATTATTTCCCATCTGGGAACTAGTGTTGTCAAATGGCTCGATTTGAGCCGATTTTTAAAAACAGTCAACTTAATGCTTTAGCGAAAAAAATATTGCCTAAGCCTTGAGATTTTACTAGTAGATGTCTAACACTTTGTGCAATTTATGAGCAAAATCTTCAGGCATAATATTTTTCTGGTAAAAATAGGTTAGCCGTTTTTAAAAATCGGCTTAAATTAAACCGTTTAACAATACTATTCGAAACGTAAAAGGCAAGTGAATCTGCACTCTAGCGGCTGAGACATCAAATACGATGTAGAAATAAACTGTCTGAGAGACTAATATAATTAGATAATGACATATAGTTCATATATTTTTGTACCAAGAAAAAAATTTATGATGGAGCATTATTGAAGTTTTATGTAAAAATTATTCATTTTTATTCTCACTATGTATACACCTCTATATATTTAATAGGTTTGAAAAACATTCCTTAATTATTTTTATTTCCCCCAAATATTATGAGCAAAAATCTTAAAAAAATATATAAAAAATTTTGGTGGCCAAAGTCTTCTGCTTCAATTTTATTCAGTTGTGTTTCAACATTATGACTTTTTTTTATATCTTCAAGTTTCCCAATCTATCCACGATAATACTTTTGCAATAATGTATTCTATAATGCATTCGCTGTAATAATCGCGATATAGCATGCACGGTATTATTTTCGCATTGCATTTGCGATATTAATTTCTCGTTAATACATTCGTTCTAATGCATTTGTGCTAAAAATATACTATAATGTATTCGCGATAATGCATTCGTGGTAGTAAACTCGCTCTAATGCGTTCGCGATAAAAAAAATTAGCTCTAATATTTTTGCAATAATGCATTTGCTACAATGCTTTCGCGATAATGTATTCGCTATAATACATTCGCCTTTGGTCTTGTCTTTATGATTAAGCTATATATCAATGAATTAATAACTTTATATACAAATTTATTCTCAAAAAATGTTAAATTATAATTTATGATTTATATAAATTGTTCTTTAATAAAATATATATCCATATGGTCAAAATACCGAAATAATAAAATTAATTAAATTCCTCACTAATTAGGGCATGTTTTGTTAAAGAATAATGTAAATGATCTCCGAGGACCAATTATCTGTTTGAATCAAAGTTTTAAATAAGGCATTTCTTAGCGTCTTGCAAATTAAATTTATTTTGGCCGGAGCCAAATTCAAAATTTTTATTTATTTTTCCCTCTCCTAGTCAGCGTCTTCATGAACGAGGGGGGGGAAGAACAGTTTATATTCATTTTTTCATGAGGGGGGTAGGTGTCTTAAATTTTTTGGGGGGTTATCTATTAAATATTGAGATGAAATAGGACAAAATATATTCCTACAAAAATTAATTCTATTATTATAGACCTATTATGATACAATAATATTGCTGATCATCGATCAAATCTATATATTGCAAACAATCATAGTCATTATTTTCCAAATAAAACTTTTCGCTATTCCTTTAAATGTAATTTAAAAGGGTTAGATATTCTCATCAAATTCAAAATGCTATAATAATGCATTCATTTTAAATGAGGGGGTTTTTAATTCAATTCATTATCTAAAAAATAATTCCTTAATCTTTCACAATATTTTTATAGTTGGTAGTAGAGATAAAATAATTGAAGTTATTCCATTAAAATTTCTGAAAGGAGTATCATTATAATTAAAAAGATATAATTAATAATCGGGAAACATCGCCGTCTTGGAAGGGGGTAAGGTTTTTGAGGGAGGTTTGCATCCAGTGAAAATCTTGTACCTATCCATGTTATTATTTTAGGCCTATCCTGTCCCGAATTTAATTGAATAATATAACTAAACGCATATTTAAACAATTAATCAATATAAAAATTTAATTCCATTACCCTAATCCTGAGAAACCTATTTTATTGCTTAAATTCTTTTATATATATATTGAGTTTAAAAAATAAATAAATAGAAGAGCTCTAAATATAAATGTGCAATTACTCAATTCCAGACATTTCAACTGATGTAATTCATTTCATTTGAGATAATGCCATCACGATTATATATTCATGTCAATACATTTGCGATAATGCATTCGCTTTAATGAATTCGGGGTAATGCATTCGCTATAATGTATTCACGGTAAAGCATTTGCTGCAGTTTATTCGCGGTAATGCATTCGCGATAATTTGCTCTAATATTTTCGCGGTAAGTATTTTCTGCAATGCATTCGCTATAATGTTTTAGTGGTAATACATTAGCGATAATGCATTGTTTAATTAAGAGCTCTTTATTTTTAATCTCATTTTCTAAAAAAACCCTTTAATAAATATCAGGAATCCAAACAGAACCTGAACCGAACCGTTAAACAGTTAAAAACCGGTATTTTTATCTAATCTAAACCGAACCTAAACCGCTAAAAAAAATTCAGCCGAACCTGAACCGAACCTCTAAAATGCCTCTGAACCGGTTTTAGATTTCACTTATATTCGAATTATTCTAAAGATTATCATCAATCACATTTGATTGATAAGTGTCGGACATAAATTTCATAAACTTTAGTATATTGTCATTTTACAACATTTTTTAAATTTTAAGCTTATAAATTATAATTAGAGAAAAATTAAATCCAAAATATTATTATAAATGACACCTCTAATCTGATATCATATTGGCAATGCCGGCTACCCAAGTTAATGTGGAAAAATGTTTTTCAACAATTAAATTTATACTATCTCCTTATAGAAGTAATTTGAGTGAGACGAATTTTAAAAATATATTAATTGTGCGGCTTAATAAAAAAAATTTAATTAAAAAAAGGAAAATATTGTTCATATTAAAATTAATCATTGATATATATTTTTATATTTATAAATTAAATATTATTTTAATGTGCAATTAATAAAAATGAAGGTTTTATACATGTGTTTTTTAAATTAATGTTAAAATAAAAAAATATTTTCCCTATACATAATTCGAATGTAGGTGTGAAAACAAAAGTATTCAAAGCGGTTTTTAGAGATTCGAACCGATATTTTAATTTTTCACGAACCGAATCTTAAACCGTTATTTTTATCCGAATCTGAACCGATATTTGTTTCGGTTTGGATCCCTGATAAATATAAATTTTACTTATGAGAACTTTATTTTTAGCTGCCATTTTGGATATTACAGCAAAAGATGTCATGTAAATGGAATATGTAATTTGTAGCGAAATATATTTTTCTGTTTTTTTACTAAGGTTACAAATCAAATTTTTTTTAATACATTGTATATCCTGTGATGATCCAAAATAATTTAAAATTAATATCAAATCCCCCATTTTCGTATTATTAAAAAATACAAAACCCCGAGACTACAAGTATTGTTGTTAAAAAGCACAATTTTGATTGATTTTTCAAAACACCCGATTAAGATTTTTGGTTAAATAATATCATGCATGATCGATATTTGATAAATAGATGTCCAAGCATTCCTGCCAGCTATGAGCAAAATATTAGGCTTACGTAATGTTATTTTGGTTATAATCTTAATCATCGGGCTTTTTAACACTAACTACAAGAACACAAGGTATTCAAAAACACAAATATAATGTTAAATTTATTTGGTGCTTACGTACTAATAATTCTTTTGTTACAAAGGATTAATATAATTCTATAGCTTTTCAAAAACTCTATTATTTAATAATTTATTAAAAAAAGTCAAATTTCATAATGTTCGTTTTCCTTCTTTTTTTCCCACTTTCATACTATTTCTCCTTTCTTTCCTAATCATAAAAATATTAATTTATTTTGATAATGATGACTTGCTAAATTAACAAATAAAATGAACACATACAAAATTAAAAGTTATGACAATGAATATGCAAATTTCAAGGCAAATATATACATACAATACATATGTTCAAAAAATAATAGAAAACAATAGAAATAGGCAATTATTTTGAGTCAACTTACCTCATCTAACAAAAAAATATTATCATTATAAATGAAGTAACCATGAATTTATTTATTAAGCAAATAAATAAACAGCATTTTTGTATATTCTTCAGTGCAAATTTTGTAAACCCTACCTTGAATTCAAACTGTGAATTCAGAGTAAGATCTAAATCACAATGATTGTCCTCAATTTTTTTTTCTTTGAAAATTGAGAAAATAAAATGTCCTGATAAAAATGAGAGGTTCCAATGTTGATAAGTAAGGATCAATATCAGCAGATACATTTTATTTTTTACCAAGAAGTAAAAAATATATGTTAAAATTGTAATCAAGATTCTCCTGAGGGGAGAAGATTTTAAGGGGGCTCTTCACTTACTCCCCTTTGGCGACCCAATTTTTTCTCTACCTAATGTTGGGTGATACACTTATATCATTTGAATAATATAAGTTTATAACATTAGTTTTATATTTATTAATTTTTTTTTAACTCTCACGAGAAAATATTACAATCCATATAATTATTTTAAAACAGTTATTAGTTTGTATCAGAAGCTGAAAGATTTAAAGAAAAAAATCTATTTTGAAGCCTGAGCAGCAAAATATGTTCCATTTTATAATTAATTTTTAAACTTTATTTTAATAAAATTGGTTATTCATTTTTTTACCAATTTTGAGGCCAGATTAGGGTTAGACAAGTAGGTCTCTGGCATATAATTTGATCTGTTATTAAATATTGAAACAGTCCTATATATTATCAATAGTATATTGAGAATATTGATTTTAAAAACTCTTTTGGCCATTTAAACTTAATAATACCATAATCAAATTTTATTATTAGTTTATGAGTTATTAACCACATCAAATTTTTCATTTTTTTTCATGCACAATTAAATTATATAAAAGTTGTAAAAAATAATTTTATTTTCTATATTAATATAAAATGTTATGTTTTTGAGCGGAAAAGTTCTTTGTCTAACCATTCTTTGGAAAAGTCATCAATATTACACAATGTAATAACCTGTTAAAATTATATATAATATATATTAAAATAAATATAAAATATCTAAATAAATTCATCTTTTACTCTAGTAAATTTTCCCAAGGCTGAGACAGTTTTCAAGTTATATGAATATTGTACACTAAGTTCCATCTTGATTCCTTTATTAAATATTATTAATAAATAATGTTTTAAAAAAAGTAACCTGAAGGTGATACAAATAATAAAAATACAGGAAAGCCTTTTCTACCATCAGGATAATCTAGTATATAAGACATGATTATATATCTAGGTAATGTTTCTGACAATGTATCTTTAATATCATCAATCGAACAATTCTACAAAAAATATTTATTTTTAATAAAATAATCTAATATACTATCAATTCTTGGTCAAGTATAATTAACTTTTTATTTTTATCAATCTTTACTAAAATAATATATTGTCATTGTTACCCATATCATTTTAAAATTTTACATATCAAAGCTGATATTTGAGGTTTTGTCTCAGAGCAAAGTTTGTTAATTTTTTCATTTAGAGCTTTATCTAATGTACAATCTTCCTATATTTATATAAATCTAAATAGCAAATACTACTGTGTGTTTACTGAATTTTTATTAAAGCTTGATATCATAATTTTTAAAAATATAGGGAATTATAATAGAGTTGGTGCAACATACAGAAAATAATAATTCCAAAACATCTGTTTACTCAAAAGAGCTTTGTTTTAAAAAAACGTTTATTATAATTATTTATTAGTATATTTATTGAAATTATTAGAAAATAATAACTAAAATTTTATATAAATTTAAGGTATTTATATATATTACAAATAAATATTTAATTAGAATATTAAAGGTTATTAAGTTATTGTAAAACTAAAAATTCAATATAAATTGATATTTGTTAAATGATACACACGAGGCCAGTTTTTATAAAATAAATAATATAATTGAATATTAAAAAATCTTTTATATTAAAAATAATTACATTGTAATCAAAAAAATTAAAAATAATATATATATATAACTTTATTGAATTAATTCAAAATAAAAAAATATCCTAATCAAGAATTTTACTTTAACAGAAATTTTTGGCAAAAAATATAGACATAATAACTAAATAATAATTATAACATTAGATTTAAAAAATTACATGAATTAAACAATTAAAAGTATATAAAAAATTAATTATTTGCTAATACATTTTGACATCATATCATATCAGTAAATATTCAAATAAAGTAACCCATGACCGGAAAAAAAATAAATAAATATAAAAAATATATATATATATATAAACATATTTTCTTTTTTTTTACATTTTCGATTTCTTATCACTATCTGTTTCTATATTATAATTTTCTGAAATCCTCGTTTTGTCATATGACACCATAAAATCGGTGCGTATTTATTTATATATATTATTTTTACGTAAATAATATTTTATTGAAAACTGGATAAAAAAGTTTTTTTTTTGCTTAACTTTTTTTAAAAAAACTGGATGAAAAAAAGTAAATAGCAAAGTATACCACAAAATATCTTCTAACACACATTTTCATTCAAGTATAGGATCCTATCATTTTTGAACTTTAACATTTCGTTATACCTATCATTATTCCCTCATTCCTACGGATTCTTTTGTATTGTTCGGTAAATAAAGAATTCACTAAAATACTGAACATGTTTTACAATTTTTATCATATTGAAAGTACAATATGTAGTATGATTTTATAATTTAAATAAATTTATATATCTATTCTAAAGAATTCTTATCTTTTTTAAACCTAACCATTTTGTCATGCCGAACAATATACTCTTTTATCCCTAATGATTGTTACGGATCCTACCTTTTTTAAACCATTTTGTAGGGGCGAATAATATGCTTGTTCATCCATGTTGATTATTTTTATAACTCAATAAAAATATACATAGTACATTATTTTTATTATTTAAATAAAACTATATAGGTATTCTTAAGTATCCTACCTTTTTGAAATTTGATATTTAAAAAAAACTATACGTGGTTTGCTAATTTATATGACCATATATATATTTTTAAAATTATTTAAATAAGATTCTATATTTATTCTCAAGGATCCTAGCTGTTTTTGAGGTTTTCCAATTCGCCTCCTGAACAACTCTTTTTATAAATGATGATTCATTGGCGTCACTAGACTAAAACAAAACCACTGGTTGAAATTCAATCACAACACATATAAGAAAAATATATTATATTTTCATGTTGAACACAAAATAGAATAAATTATACAAAGAGTCTTCAAAGATTTAGATCTCTAAGGATGTTTTACAGAATGCTCAAACCAGCGTTTACATGATTTGTAAGTGGGTGGGGGGTGTAGATGCAGCTTGTTTGTAATTTATTGATCTTTAAAACAAACAATCAATTCATTCCAAAATATGGTAGTCAATCCAATGTATCGCTACATTCGACAGAAAAGATCTACCAGCCTTAAAAAAGATTTTTCCAATACTTATATTACTGAAATTGTTAGGGCAAATATAAAATAAAATTTAAATATAAAATAAAATTAAATTAATATTATAAAAGTTAATGAGATAAAGAAGCTGGATCTGATAATTCTAATCCGTTAAGTAAGGACATAAAAAATAATTCAATCACAGTTACCAACTTAATCAAGTTCGAGTTTTCATATGCGGAAACATTCAGGCAAAGGTAAGAAGCAAAAAAATCTTTAGGAATATTAGTAAATTTCAAGCGATATACACTATAACTGAACTTGCAGAGCCTTCGAACCTTATAATCAAATTCAAGTTGCAACACCCTAAGAAATCAGAAAGCGCAAAGATGACCAATTTTTTTTGTGATAAGTCAAATAAAGAATAAGACTATAGGGCGGCTCGCATGTGACAGCTAAGAATAAACTGTAACTTTTTGGGTTGCTAAATATAGAGAATAAATAAGAATGGCCACTCATCGAAAGAAATTCAATAGGGAGTAAGCTTGAAAGACAAGTGACATTATACGAGTTAGTATAGACAACGTTATAGACAATAAAGAGTCAAGCGATGATAAAATCATAGCTAAGATTGAAGGAATATATTTCAGTAAACAATCGCTTACTGAGATTGAAAATAATATTCATGTGAAATAGGAAGTAATAAAAAGTTTTAGGATATAAAATTGGACAACCAGCAAGATAATAGACATCCAGCGTCTACATGACAGGATTTTCACTGGATGCAAACCACCTTCAAAAACCTTTGCCTACCCCCTTAAAAAATCCCGCCGCCTTCGGTGGTGGTGTCTTGTTATCATTATTTTTACCTATTTATTTATTGATACTCTTTTCAAAGTATTTATAAAGGATAACTTAAATTAATCTATCTCTACTACCAACTATCGATATTTTGTGAATAAAAAGAATTTATTTTTTAGATAATAAATTCAATTAAAACCTCCATTATTTACAATGAATTAATTATTATGCCATTATGAGCTTGCTGAAATATCTAAACCTTTTAAATTACATTTAAAGGATCGGTTATTTGGAAGAAAATGTGAATGATTGTTTGAGATTTGGTCGATGAATTGTATTATAATAATACCATATTAAAAGTATTAATTTATACAGCAATAAATTTTGTCCTATTTCATCTCAAAATTTAAAAGATAACCCCCCCCCCCCCCAAAAAAAAAAAAATTTTTTTTATCCTATCCCCATTAAAGCAGCTTACTCCCTACCCCCTCAAAAAAATAGGATGCAAACTGTTCCTACCCCTCCCGCTCATGTAGACGTTGTAGACATCGTAAACGACAATATTTTCAAACAACAATATGTTTTACATACAATTATGAATAACGTAGACTCGACGTCTGTGATATGACTCTCGAATTAAAAATTACGTTATTAGACGTCAATATAAACAATTAAAGATGTTACAGTCAAATAATGATGCGATACTACAACCATAGATTATATCATGATGAGAGATTCAAGAAAACCAAAATAGACCTTACAAATAAGGCATCCTGATATATAATTTTAATTATAAGAGTTAGAATGATATTAGCAACTTTATTGATAACAATTATAGAAAGCTTTGGCAATTAAGAAATTAGATACGTTATAATTTACAGAAATGATGTAGGGCTAATTCAAATCAAGGTTATAACATAATACACTATAATCAAGGCAACAAATATCTTTAAGAATCCAAGCTGGATATTCAACTAAAATAAATACTGTTAGATGACAGTGTCAAAATTGCAGAAAAAAAGTAGAACTTATTAAACGTAGATATAAACAATATGGACGATGTATTAAGTGTATAGCAAATGATGCATATAAAGTTACAATTAAAATTAACGATACAAGACACAATATTAACGATCATACCATGTCATATAGCTAATAAAGTTGGCATCAGGGAAACAAAAAAGTGAGTGTTCGTTTTTTTTTTGGAATTAGTGGTTTAGTTATAGTTCCCTTTAAAAAAATTAGTTATGATCCCAAAACTAAATGTATATAATAGTTTTACCTGAAATATATAATCTTTGTCGAGGCCTAGACCCCTCCCTCAGTTTTCAATTAAGTATCAGTTTAAGATATGCGGGGCCATAGTATTTTAGCTTGTATTTATATTAACGAATAAGCGAGTTACAAAAACCAGAATTATATCACATTTAAGACAAGACGCAATACCAAAAATAATGCCGCCTAAAAAATTGCTCCACTTAAGAATACACATGCATGACAGATAGCGTGTACATGACAGAATTCTCACTGGATGCAAACCCCCCCCCCAAATCCTATGCTTGTACCCCTAAAAAATTTTGGCGCCTTCAGCGACGATGTTTTTCCATTATTAATTTAGCATTTTAAATATATTGGTACCCCTTTCACACATTTTAAAAAGGATAACTTAAATTATTTTAGTTCTACTACCAACTATCAAAATATTGTTAATATAAAAGAGTTATTTTTCAAATCATTAATTCAATTAAAAGCCCCCTCATTTACAATGAATGCATTATTATAGTATTTGGCATGAATGCATGAATATGAGTTTGTTAAGACTGTCTTACCCTTTTAAGTTATATTTTAAAGGATAGAAAAAAGTTTTGTTCGGAATAAATGTCTATGTATGATTATGTAATATATAGATTTGGTAGATGATCAGCCATATCATTGTATTATAATAGGCCTATAATAAAAGTATTAATTTTTATAGCAATATATTTCGTCCTATTTTATCTAAAAATTTAATAGATTACCCCCTATAAATTTATCATACCCCTTTAAATGTGCCCCCCCCCCCCCAAATAAAAAGTGGATGAGTGCCCCCCCCCGTCGTTCATGCACACGCTGATGACCAAACCTAGATCAATAATAAGAATAAATTAATTATACAAACGAACAAACAAACTATTATTTTATGTGTCGTACTTTTTTAATTCTTAAATCGTAATTTTGTAATATCTATTTTATATAATAAAATCGAGGTATATATATATATAATAATATTTATTTTATAAGACTGTTCATGCTAATATATATATATATACAGAATATAATAGATAATAATGATGATATACTAATTTGAACGATAAAATAGTAAAATAAAAAAATAAAGGTGTATCGTAATAAAATAAAATAAGAAATAAACTAAATATTCTTAAGTATAGATCAAGTTAGATCATTTATAGGTAAAATGTTAAAATACTTATATTATAATACTACTTACTACTTAGCATATAAAATAAATGAATAAGTTAAGTCTCGTCAACATTTTAAATTTAAGAATAAATAATAATTTGCATGATATTAGAAACAAATAAATCTATGTCATCATACAGATCAATACATGATGTAGACAAGTAGTGTTTAAAAGCCCGATTTAAGTCGATACGGCCCGATTATTTTTTTAGCCAAATTAATATTATATCAGCTGAAATTTTTTTTAAGGCTATTAGAAAAATTGCCCCTTCTATTTGCCAAATCTCGAGACTTACATAATATTATTTTAGCTAAAATCTTTATCGGGAAGTTTTAAAAAATCAAACTATCTAGCTTTTCAACAACACTAGAGACATTCGATTTTTTATTTTTATTTATATAACTTAAACATTCAATTTAAACTTTTTTTATACCAGTAAACTAATTTTAATTCATTTTTTTTAATTTTTTTTTTATAACTCTAAATATTCGTTTTAATTTTTTTATGCCCTAAGATTTTTTATATAACTATAACCAATGCGTAATATATCATATTAGGACATAAAATTTATATAATAAAGAGGTAAACTTTGTATTAAAATGTAATTTTTTATATAATATTAAAACGTTGTGTGTTCATATTTTGAAATAGAAATTTTTGTAATAAAGATTTGATATTTTGAAATTGATTAATAAATCATGTTTAAGAAATGAGTTTATTTTCTTCTAACTAAACCTTAATTTCAGCATTATAATCGTAAAATATTCTTCATGTATTATAAAACTCTTCCTTATATAATTGATAATTTCATAGATTTACATAAAGTCAAAATCAGCTCATCATGTGAATTTGTAAAATGCTACTCTCAATAGTGTTATTGGGCTTTAAAATACTTTTAATAGTTTGTTTCGTGATCTTTTTTAAAAATGTTTCTATCAAAAATTTCCTTAATTACTATTTATTAGAAATATGCTAGTTATAGCATTAAAACTTCTCTTTCAATACAAATGTCATAGATTCCGGTAAAAGCATCTAAAAGGGAGATCCAAATAACCTCATATATTTTGCCTTGGTATTCATGACTTCATCCATGATCTTTAATCTAAATTTGATCTGTATTCATATATCTTGTACCTAGGCAATTGGAAAATTTGTGGCCATCTTACTAAATTAATCAGAGTTTATAACTTCCTTGAAAACAATCATAAAAACACAGATCATATCCTCAACACAACTAAAACAATTTGCTTTCAAGATAATTCTAAAATAGTATCTTCCCACAAAACCATCGAAGTATATTAACTTCACACTTTTTGGCTTACCCTCATAAAGCATTCTTCCATAATCGAAGAATCTCTAGTCACATGTAGCTTGAACACAATCTTAAACATTCTCCCATCACATCCGAGCTTCCATATATTCCGCGAATTCTTACATGTTTATAAAATTTTACATCTCTGTTGCATATTCTTAATTTTTTACTTAAAAAATTTATTTAAAATTTGGAGTCCATATTTAAAACATATTTGAGAAAATTATTATTTAATTAAAGATTAGCAACTTCTGGTATAATATATGGCATCAATCCATTATCCCTTCAAACCCTGTCGCATTCATCTTTCCTTTCTTTCCAACTATTAAATAACTCGTTAATATCCAGCTTAATCACCTCTAATTGATGGCTTGTTGGATCTGACTTGCAATTGTCAAATGTGGCACAACAATGTTTCAACAGTTACTGCTTTTCCGATATAAATCAACAAAATATATTTTTACTAGTTTCAAAATTCTACTATATTTTATCCACATCTTCACCTCTCCCTTTGAGGACATCCAACCTTTTCAAATAAAGATAAAATAGGCAGACATGAGTGGAAAGCTTTACATGGGAAAAACTTAGGGAACCTCTTAACTAATGAAGAGCTATAATACACTAGGTTAAAATTTGGTTGCGACATAGTCTAACCTTACAGTAGACTGAATTGAAATTGCCAGTTATTGCTAAGGGCAGAGATTGGGTTAGTATTAAAAGCCAGGGTCTTAAACGTGATATTGTCAATAAATAAACTTCTCAACCTATTTCTAAAATAAGTATCAAATACTTAATATATTAGAACATCTCAACTTTTTATCAGATGATTGTCACCGCGGCTAGCGTAAGCCCGATGGGTCTTATTGTGTGGGTCGTTTTTTTAATGGTAATTATAAAGTCATTCATTTTTGGTAGTTTTATTGATTATTTTTGCGCTATCATTCTTAATATATTTTTATTATTTAAAAAGGATTTATAGATAAATTATTTTTAGATTAATTAAATTGTTAATCAACATATATTTATTTTGTAGTAGATATAAAAGATTTTAAAAAATTGAAATAAACTATTATAGTTGTCTTTATGCCAATATTGTTTGAAAATTATATTTTATAGTAATCATTTTAGGCTGCAAATATTTAGATGGAAAAATTTAAAAAAAATAAAGGAAAAAAAAACAATATTTAAATAAATATTCTTTTTGTGAAACAAAAACTCCCTACAATTTGACTAGTTGTTAAAGATCGATTTTTAGAAACGGCCCGATTTAGATTTTAGCCAAGTAAGCCTAGAGATTTTGCTTACCAAATCCCGAAGCTTACAAAATATTTTGGCTAAAATCTAAATCGGATCGTTTTTAAAAAGCATTATTAAAATCGATTAAAATCAGCTTTATAACAACACAACTAATATTTTATAACTATCCCAGTGGATTTTTCTATAAATATCACCTGGGATAATATCTCTATTTCCACTTTTTCCATTAAATAGCAGAACACTTACTCAAGCCGTAGCAGATAGATGACTTTTTTTTTTACCATATTGCCTACCACCAGGGACCATTTTCCCTTAACACTTTCATTTTTAAAAAAAAATTTATAGCCAATAAAATTCGAATCCACACATTGGGGGTCAAAAAATTGCTTTTCTTAAGTCTAAATATGCAAATAGAAATATTTAAATTTTACATTTATTAACTGCCAAGTAACATTCATAATAAATCTGACAGGCCGCGTGTGAACATTTTTATGCTAGTTTTACCACATTCAGACATATGATTATATTTTTTCTCTGCTTCACTTTTTTATTAACTTATTCATATTCTGAAAGAATAAGCGACACTGATGAAACTGATTTTGCAGAATTTGATGAAATAGAAGAAGAAATAGAAATTAAGACTCAATATAAAAATAATATAAATGAGGATGAATGCAAGGGTCATAATTGTCCTGGAAATGAAAAGGTTAAAAAAAATATTAGAGTAATTTAATCTTGTATGGTAGAAGGACTTGCATGTTGACGAGGTAGATGTTGATGATGAAGAAATGGACAATAATGAGGATTTGAAATCACAAACAAAACCACCACCTCAATTGAAAATTAATCAAGTAAATTTATGAATAAAATTAAATTTATTTGACTTAATATTTTATTCAATAAAAAGGTCCCAATACATTTTAGATCTAATTGGGATAGTTATTATGTTGAAATGATTTTAATGACAGGCTTGATTATATACTTAGTCAATTTCATTACAGGACGTGCTAAAAATTCAAAATTAGCAAATGAATGGTTTGATGTGCATAAAGATATATTTGAAACAAATTTTTTATTAATAGGTATATAATTGCATTATATTCTTTACCATGTAATATTTTATTATGTAATAAAAGTTTATCAAATCAATAAAATTTTCAAAATAATATATATTATAGCTTGTAAAATATATTAAATATATTTTGGTTTTATTCTTTAAAAAATTTTAAATTATATAATACATATTGTTTCTTTGTGAGCTTTCTTTTATTTAACATGTGATTGATTTAAAACCTTAAGATATGTTATATGATTAAATCAGGTGATGACAGTAATATCAAAACTTCTAACCTAGATGCCATTGGGAATAATTCTATAAAAAATGATTCTAAAGAAGATGAAGACATGTCAAATATGGCTATAAATTCTAACAATGGTAATTTTGATATTATAGAGTACACCTATTATATTTGAATATTATATAATATAAATATTATTTTAAATGGCACTTTCATTAATCACTTGGCTGGTACCATTTGGATCTGGGACCATGGTTTTGATCTCAGCAACTCGATGGGACAATTGAAGCATTCCTATCAATGCTGTTAAAATAGATATTAAAGGTTGTATGCTACTTGGTATGATACTGCCTTTATAAAAAAATAGCTAATGAATAATGTCACTATTTTTTTATGTAGCTATATCTAAAAAATAGCTAATTTATTAAGCTATTTTAAAAAAATGATGAATATAATTAATTTTTATTATTTTATTTAGGGCAGTGGTGATCCATCTAATATTTATCCTCTTTGTAAAATATTAAATTAGGCCAATATTTTTTAAAGAAACCTATCCAATCAAATAATTTTATTATTTTTAGTCATTTTATTTATTGTATATATAATAATATATTATTCTATATTTTATAATAAAAGGAACCAAAATTTAATTTATTTGTAATGTTTAAATAATATTATTTTAAAAGATAATATAGCTAAAAATTTGGTATTATTTTTTTGTTATATGTTATCTGTGACAAGAAGAAGATTTAAACATATTGTGATTTTAAACAATTTTTTAGACAATTTTATGGCTAACTCAAGAATTTGGCCAGAATACAATTATTAAGTTTGGAAATTTTTCTCATGGATGACAGAGATGTTTGTATATTTATTGGACAAAATTTTTAGCCCTTTTTAAAAATTAGCTAAATTAAGCCTTTGATGACATTATATTCAGCTATAAACATTGCCCATATTTTAAATGAAATGATTAACTTTTGGTGAATAAAAAACATCAGGATACACTTGATTATTCATGAGAATTAGTCAATTTTTTTTATGACATTGGTTCAAAGATGGGTGGTAAATATGAACCATTATGAATATTTGTATTTGGAAATATCAAATCGAATTATGAAAAATTTATGGATCAAAAAGTTTTATTTATAATATAAATAAGAAAATTGGATATATTTTAGAGACCTGCAGACCCTTTTCTATGCCTGGCCTGAGGACATGGGCTGAGCTGTATTTTTAATTTTTTTAAAATATATCTGGGCTGGGATGTATATTTTAAAATCGCCATTATTAGCTACAAAAAATTAAAAATAAAAAAATATATTTTAAAAAATTTCTGGGCCAGGCCAAAAATTTTTTTACAAAAAAATCTAGGCTGTGCCATGCAAATGATACCTCTGCAGCTCTTCGATATATTTTAAATAACCAGATTTATTAAAATCCTTTCACTTATATATATTTAAATTTGGAAGATGACATCTTATTCATAATTACTATTATTATATATATATATATTTAATTTGGGTATTTTATTTAGGAAAAAACTAAACAAAGAAGAGGAGTTTAATATAGGTATTGTTGAACAAGCTCTGGAAATATTTAATTTTAACTTATATCAAGAGTATTTCATGTTAATATTTTTAAATAGAGTTGGACAGGTTTGAAACTAGAGATAGATGCAATAATTAAGGATAATAAACTAATCCATAGATTATCCCAGGGAATATATATATTATCATCCATTCAACATTAAAATAAATAAACCTAACAAAATGATAACATTCTTGTGTTCTCAAATATTTGATGATATTTCCGATGAGGATGATATAAATAATATTGTTTGATTATATAACAAATTTTTTGAGACTCTCCAAATCAGATCTCACAATATTTAAAGAGTCCTCTTTCAAAACCACACTTCATGAAATATAATACCTCCTATCTCATCCAGTTTTACTTTTAAGATATGTGTAGTCTAGTAAAATGTTTTTTGGTGAAAGAAAAAGAAGTTCTTTGCTAGACTGAAACACATTCTCTTAAAACAAATTTCAAATATAATTAAAATTATATATATATAACTAATATTTTATTGTGTGATATTATAAGTAAAAAATTCATTTAATATTTCAAAAAAAATTATAATTGCTACTATAATATTTTATTTATTCCCACAAAGGAGAAAAATAGATATAATTTTTATAGTAGCTACACTAAAATAGCTAAGCTACATGTAAAATGATTTTTTTTTGAGATAGCCTTAACAGGATTTTACCCTTATATAAATGTGATTAAGTTTTAATTATATCATTTTTTTGTAAATGATAAAGGCAATTGCGATAACCAAAACAACCATAATGGCTCGGAAGAAGATAATGAAACACTCCTGACCAAGGACTCAGAAAATATTTACTTATTATGGTGCAGCGGGAGAACGGGCTGCGAGGGTATGCTTAGCGAATTGAAACTCGTCAAAAGGCAGGACATATTCAGTCTCGTTACCAGCTACTTTAAGCACGAGACAGATAAAATTGTGAGTTAAATATATCTTATAAGCCTGAATTACTTGTGAAGAGATTCCATAGGTTGGTCAGTTTTTCTCCCCACTAATCTTGTTAAAACTAATTTATTGAACTTTACTACCAAAGTTAAATAAAAATGAGCAAGACAGAGGGCATAAGTATGTTGTTAAGTGGCGCGAATTTTAAAAACGGCGAAACCCAATATTTTTCCAAAAAAATATTACCTGATCCTCAAGATTTCGTTTCCGAACTGGTCGACCTTCTTTATGCAAATTTCCTAGGCCCACTTGATAGTTTTGGCTAAAATATTGGGTTAGCCATTTTTAAAAATTTAGCCGTTTGAGAATACTACCTATCAGTTAAAAAAAATAGTCTAAAGAACAGCTGTTAGATACTAAAAAACATAAAAAATAATATATTCTTTTTTTTCTTCTTTTAGATCATAACCGTTTACATGAATAACGAAGATATGGACACTTACATATTAGCTATTGGACAAAAGAAATCGATTAACTTTCTTGCTAAGGAAATGAAAGATTTGGTGAGTTAAGCATTTTATTTAAAAAAAAAATTAAAGTAGTGTTATAAAGTTCTAACTCCACTTCTTACCAAAATTCGAGTTGGGGTAATGTCGTGGCATAGATTTTGCGAGTATTTATAATTTAAAGTAAAGTTTTCTAATTTTTATGAGTTAATGTAGTACTATCTTTTATTTTATGATGATAATCGATTATTGTTTTTATTTCTGTAATATTCAAGAAAAGATGCATTTCTTTCTTTCTACGATGATTATTATGTATTTTGTGAAATATAAAACTAACCCCTTCTCATTCTTGGTTAGCGCAAATCTGCAGCGAAATATACAAAATATGCTCTATTTTTGTATTGTTTCACCCCCAATTCCAACTAACTGAATTAGGGGTAAAACTTGGGATAATATTATCTTTGAATATAATAATATAGAAGTGAGTGCCATTTTCCCTTCGTGCTTCAAAATTGGTTTTCTTTTTGAAATATTTTACATGATTTAAGACCGATTTACTTACAATATCGAAATTTACAAAACGTCATTCGTCCTTTTTTTTAAAAATCTCTACTTCCACAGCTGATTTACTTTTCATAAGCGATAATGTATTAAGATACAGCTGTTCCAAGTATTTTTTTTTGACTTTTAATTATATTAATGACTTACGAAATAGTAAATCAGATTAAAAAATTTTTTTAAAAATTATGACAGTTTATTTAGCAAATTAATTAATTTAAAATTAAAAATTCTTTTTCTAGAGTCTTTATTGTCCCGAGAAAAAAGGGGGCGAAAAATTGGGGTTACCACCTGGTTTTCAATATGTCAGCGAAATCGGGGAAGCCATTTTATCTCTGTTGGACAACAAAGTTTAAAAAAAACTGATTCGATGTTTATTTTTTGATTATTTCAATATTTTTTTTTAACTTTCAGTTGATAATTTAAAAAATAATAATCAGGAATAAGGTGGCTAAATCAATAAATTTTTTAAATAATAAATGAGATGTAGTCATTCCAGGGAATTTACAATATTTAAAATCAAATACTACGTTATTTTATTTTTTTTTAAATTAAAAAGATTATGGCGACATTTAACAAATTTGCGACATATATAGATTACATTCATTTTTCTGATCAATATGCCGGAAAAAAACTGCCAGAGTATACTTTGGTTTTTATTAATGCACATGCATTTTAATTATTTACATGTATTTTTATTTACATATTTTTTTTTAGGAAAAATATTTTTATAAGATTTTTCTTCTTTCTATTAAGGCAAATAAATATTATCGATTAATTGGTTGATTTAAAAAAAAACAAACGAATATTTTCATATTAGAAGCTTCCATATGTTTAGTTCATAATATATGCTAAATTTTTTTCTTCAATTCCTCAAACTAAAACCTATGTTTTCATCAGCTGTTTTTTTTTATCTGCAGTTTTTTTTTTCGTTAGAGTTTTGTTTTTCCAAAGGCTTTTCCTCCTTATTACCAATGCCAATCTATTTTCACAAAACATTTTATCCCCTTCTCTTAAGTTTTCGCGCTAATAAAAATTGAAGTTCAGTTCCTAGTAAAACTTCCTGTTTATATTTTCCATCTTTGACTGCCTAAAGCTCACGCAGAAGCGTCGACATCAGGACAGGATCCATATCACTAGCGGAATCCCTATCAAAATTAGGATATAATATTTCCGAAAAGGAAACTTTGGCGCCATTTTTTTATTCTTATTAATTATATATATATATATATATATATATTTTATCAGCGAGGCAAATCAAGCTGTAAAACCTCAGGATACCAAAAAGTGCTTGCGATTTTGTTTCTCGAGTATATTATAAAAAAAATAGATAAATTCAAGAATATTGAGTTTGACTTTAATGTATCTTCGGCCTAGGATTGTAGTGCTCCACTTGCGCAAATGTTTAAAATGAGAAAATCAAATATAGAAAAGCTTATCGATCAATTTTGACAGAGCTATAACTTTGGCAAAAATTTAAATTTTTTTAATCTAGTTTTTATTTATATATATATTTATATATATATTGGGAATAAATAAGTTATTGTTCACTTCTAACTCTAAAATTTTGAAAATGTCGAGTGGAGCACCCCAGTTCTAGGCCGACGATATATTGTTTTATTGGCCACTATATTTTAAATACGAGATCAACCTTAGGAACATAAGCTTAAATGAAAAGGTAAAAGTATCTTTTAGTTGTTTGGATGAAAGGTTTTTCTAGTTTTGACAACTTTTTTCATTAGAAATCTTATAACAGTATATATTATTATTTTTTTTTATATATTCCATAAGTTCCCTCAAATAAATGGAATTCGAAAGAAGAATTATCTACCTTAAAGCCACTCCTTCTTTTCGTGTTTTATTGCGTAGATAAAGTTCAACGTTTTCGATTAAGTAAAGAGGTAAATTAATAATAGATTCAATTTTTTTATATTTTTAAAAATACCTCATCTTATTTTAAAAATTGTTTAGAAATCAGATCAAAAATATAATTATCAAAAATTTTTTATTGCGAAGTCAAGATTTTAGCTAAACAGAAAAATTATTATCATTAGTAGTGAATAAGTCTTAAACTTCTATTTGCAAAGTCAAGATTTTAGCTAAACGAAAAAATTGATTAGAATTCGGATCAAAATATAATTATCATTAGTAGTGAATAAGTCTTCTTAAAAACTTCTATTTGCAAAGTCAAGATTTTAGCTAAACGAAAAAATTGATTAGAATTCGAATCAAAATGTAATTATCATTAGTAGGGAATAAGCCTTCTTAAAAAACTTCTATTGAGAAGTCAAGATTTTAACTAAACTACTATCTAATATTTGAACTTCGAGATATTGCCAAAAAAAATATAGAACCAAACCTTTCTTTCATCTTTTTTTTTTTGAGAAATTCTAGAGTAGGTTAATATTTGTTTTGGACTAAAATCTTGCTTTATAGGAGTAGCTGAGTGACGATATAATTTAGTAGTGTTTTAGATGCGCCCTTATGGTTATCTCGATCAGAGATGTAACAAATTTCACGTTATTAGCCGATATTTTTCATTTTTACTAGTGCTCTCGATATAACCCGATTCGGAAGCGATTTTTTCAACATTTACAGCCGATACCGAACCGATACATCATCATGTCTACCGATACAACCGACGATAATAATATTATGTAAGCCTCGAGATACCCTATTTGCCATCTATAGGCGAAATCTCCAGGCTTACGTAATATTTGGCTAAAATCTTAATCGGGCTATTTTTTTTTTAATCGAGACTTATAAATATTTTTTTTATGAAGGAAATATATTACATGCATTATTTTTTGATATCGTCGGTTGTATCGGTAAACACGATGATGTATCGGTTCGGTCACGGTATCGGCTGTAAACGGTGATTATTGATGTATCTGATCTCATTTTATGATCTAAATTTACCAAAAATTTATAATATAATATTGCCCTTACATTTTCAAGTTTCCTTATCTATAAAACTATTTTTTTTTAATTATTAAAATATATAAATAACGAGAGGTTTGGAATAAAGAAAAATTGGGCAATTTTGATCCATATTTTACCCTAAAAATGCCAAAATCATTTTTTAATAAAATCTTTTGTAATTTTCAGGAATAAAAATTCTTCAAAGATTTTTTGTTCAAATTGACGATTTTTTTTTAAAAACCTGAAAATTATATTAGTTTTTAAAATATAATTTTGTTTTTGTTATATAAGTATTGATGTTAAATATAAAATTTTTTAAAATATAATTTATACGATTACTTGAAATTGAAAATAAAATAGACATACATATAGTGCTATTATCTCCATACATCTTTTAATAAAGAGGTTGGGTAATTTTTATATTTATACCTAATTGAAAAAAGTGGAGCCATTGGTAAATTTAAAATTTTTTTTATAAAATTTGCCAAGGCTAAAATCAAGAGCGGAAAGAATAGGTTTAAAGTCGAGGACACGTTTTTCAAACAACAACATACTCAGAGGCAAGAGGCGGCGCAGGTAAGGAGAGAAGAAAAAAGGAAGGCCGAAAAAGAACGTTTGTTAAACGAGGAAGATCCATTGAAGCAGAAAAAATTGGAGGTTATAAACATTTTCGATTTCGACCGATCAAATCATAAACGTCACTTAAAATCGTTTATAGAAAGAAAGAATGATTTCGATCGTTAAAAAAAATATATATTTCTTATTTTAAAGCCGAATCCTGGATTATAAAATTGTGATTTTTACGGCCCAGAACGGGTTCTTAAGTTTTTTTATCCTAGTGCTGTTAAAATACACTACCTTTGACCAACTCATATATGAGAGGCAGCCTAGAATGGATTTAAACTTCTCATATTGACCATAGCTTGTGTTGTTAAATGGCTAAATTTTAGCCGGTTTTTAAAACCCGGCGAACTCAATATTTTAAACCAGAAAAAATATTTACGTCATCCTCGAGATTTTGTTGATAGGTGTTCAAACCTTTGTGCCATCTATGAGCAAAATCCAAAGGCTTGCATAATATTTTTTCCGGATAAAATATCGAGTTAACCGTTTTTAAAAATCGACTCAAAACGAGCCGTTTGACAAACCGGTTTGACAAACCGGGCCACAACTTAAAAAACACTTTTTTAGGGTATGATCTTTGGAAGTCATTTGAGAGTTGTTAAGTGATTTAAACAACAATAATTTTTGCCTGTATTTTATAAATTGAAATTTTCAAAGTGTGATTAAAGTTATGATTGGCGAAAGGTTTAATTTGATTTTTTAGCCCAATCGTCTGTGGGGTCTCTACATATTTTTTTTAACAAATCCGCCCCTCGGGGAGTCAAACGCATTCCTTTAAAAAAAATGATATATATTTGCAATAATTAGAAAGTTTGTTTTAAGTTTATATTTAAAAAAAGCTTATTCATCATTTGCGAGTGTCATTTAATCTCTTTTTTTTGCTATTTTATTTTGTAGGAAAAAGAGTACAAGAGAGAACTGAAGAGAAGAAACCCCAAATTCAAGCAGCTCAAGATTCGTGCCCTTTAAATGGAATTGTTGTTTTTTTTTTTGAAAAAGAAAAATTCTCGAAGCAATTACAAGGACTAGTTTTTTTGCATAAAAACATTTTTTAATATCTCAGAAAATTATTTTTCTCACATTGCAATTATAAAATATTTATATAATTAAAAATTGTCAAAGCTAATTGAATTACAAATTTATTTCATATAACGTATTTGTTTTGTAAATTAAAATTCAAAAATGACCAATTTTTTTATTTGAGTTTTCCTCCGTAGTATATATCACAAAACCTAGAATGGATATTGAACGTTTTGGCCAAAATCACCAAAATGTTTTTAAAAAATATAGAAAATATTGGGTCGTGTCCCTGCGGTAAAAAAAAATTTTGGTTTTATTTTATAAATTGTTTGATCTCTATAATTTCGTTTCATAGGAGATCTCTCTCCGATATGAATATGATTGAGGAATGTGAAATAAGTTTGATAGGTTCGCTTCCACTAACCTCTATTTGTGTAGAAATGACTTTATATAATTGTATAACTTGTTCAGGATCAATTAAAAAAAAAAACTTCATTATCAAGCAGATTAAATCTACTATCTCTATAAAAACATGGATTAATTGCCGCAAAATAATTTTTATTTTTTTTAACAGATTATTAATTTAGTAAAACTACTGTTGTGTGTAAAAGAATGTTAGATTTTACATATTTTATAAGGCTTTTGCTCTTAAAATTTAAATTGGCAATATTTTATTTGTTAATCCTTCAAAAGCATATTAAGTTGAATAGATGCAGACCAGACTCTATGTTTGATAATTTCACATGTGTCCAGGAGTTCTACATTACTTACATTATTTATTATGTTTATTTTTTGGCTTTCCTTATTTATTCAATTGCTTTAATTAAATTTACTAGATATATATATATTCTTTAGTATGAAGATTGTTTCCTGTTTCAATTAATTTATAGGAAATGAGAGTTGGGATGTTAGGAAAAAATTTATTATACATTCCACTCTTATATTTGTCTACCCAACATTAATAAGGGTCAAATTGGTATCTTATCCTTCGATTAGAACATTTTTAATCCTTTCATGATTTAACAAATTTTTCTGAGTAAATATCTTAAGAGCTTTTAAATGCTGTGTTTTAAAGATTGAAATAATTTCTCCCCAATACACGCTTGCATTATGGAAAAATGAACAATTTAATATAAAAATCGATGTTGCATATTTCATTAAATTATTATTTCCGAAATTTATATTGTTATTTGCTAAATTAAAATTAAAAGAGAAAGTTGGCCTACCATATCCTATATCTCTTTAACCTTTAATCCTACCCATTATCCTTATTTCAGTTATTATTAAAAATTTAAAATAATTTCAGTAAAAATTATCTTCCGGTAAATATTACTAGAATTTAGCTATTTATATTCTAGAAAATGAGCGTACATGCAAAAACAACAAAACACGATTATGATATATGAACCGAAAGGAAAAAATATTTTTCTAAAAAATGATTAAAATCCTGATTATTTGATCATAAAAACTATAAATTTATAAATTTTACAAAAATAATTTTATTTAATTAAAAAAAAGTATTATTTTTTAGATAAATATTATCAATATATATCATTAAATTGAAAATTTTCTAAATATGAAAATATTTATTTATTAATCAAGATGCTCAATTATCTAATTACAATCTTTGCTCAGAAACTGGAAGTCTTTTCAATATTATTTACATTTTCGTGATTTTGGTCAAATGTTTTCTATATTTTTTTTTTGGATAGAAAGCGTTTTTTAGTTGGGGCATGGCCAAATTGTTATAAATGTTTTCACTTGACAATAATTATAAACTAACTCTTAATCTTTCCTTCCTAAGCTACCTGGCTTTGGTAGAAAAAGTTTTCTAAGTTGGGGAATGTTCCTAGGTCAAAAATAAATCACTGCCACTTCAATTCAACCTTCGGAGTCATGACTAGAGTCTCGTAAAATAATTTTTCGAAACCCAAACCCGACCCGCGCCCGACTTTAAAAACAATTTTGCCGCCTAACCTGAACCAAGATCAAATATTTTTTTGTTACAGCCCAACCCAAATTAAAATTATTTTGATTTTAGTTTTGATATTATAATGCCTGAGGACAAACTAAAAGTTATTTGCAGGAATGGGAACCCGGTGTAGCGTGATTAATTAACTCCCCTTATCACATACCTCTGAGTTAAGTAATAACTATGAGAGATTAACTCCCCCTTTGATAAATAGTGTTAAGGAGGGAGTTAATTAGTAACAAAGATATTAATTACAATGTAAATTGATAGGGAGAGTTATTGATCATGCAGTTTTTTTAATATTGCTGAAATTCTTGTAAATTTGATTTTCGAATTTAAATTTTGGATCGAATTTTAATTTTTTTTATCTACTTGGTGAAATTAAACATCCTTTTTAAAAAGTAACTTGTTCACGTAAAAAGTAAAATATTTTATTATTTTAATATAAAAATATTAAATAGTGAATCACGATGTTATCAATGATATTTATAATTACCTAAAATGCAAAACCTACCCAAACTCCTATGTCGGCGATCATGGCTTAAAAAGAAACCTTAGAGTCAAATGTGCCAAGTTTTTCTTAGAGAATGACAAATTATACCATAACCTTCATAATGCTCAAGTTATCTCACTCTATAGCGAAAAACAAAAATTTTTAGTATCATTGCATGGAGGATGTGAGACAAATCTCACAGAAATGTCATTATCAGGTCACTTTGGAATCAACAAGACATATGATAAACTAGTTGAAAGGTATATTTACTACTCAATTTAAAATTCTCTTTCAATTAACAGAATATTGTTTATAAAATATTGCTTAAATTTAGCCTGATATCACCCAAAAAGCTTGCAACACTTTTAAAATATACTTTAATATAATCAGGTAAATATTGCTCTTATAAGCTAAGATACAGTACTCAATTTAAAATTCTCTTTCAATTAATAGAATATTGTTTTAAAATATTGCTTAAATTTAGCCTGATATCACCCAAAAAGCTTGCAACACTTTTAAAATGTACTTTCATATAATCAGGTAAATATTGCTCTTATAAGCTAGGATACAGTACTCAATTTAAAATTCTCTTTCAATTAATAGAATATTGTTTTAAAATATTGCTTAAATTTAGCCTGATATCACCCAAAAAGCTTGTAACACTTTTAAAATGTACTTTGACATAATCTTACCATCCTCAGGCTAATGGCATGGTAGAGCGAGCCAATCGTACTCTTCAAAATTCCCTTTTGAAGTGTACAAAAGGCAATCAGAAAGATTGGCCTGGAGTTCTACCTGGTATTGTATTTGCCTACAATACATCAAGGCATGAATCTTCAAAATTTACGCCATATGAGATGATGTATGGCAGGAAAGCTTTACTGCCCTGTGAGGTATGATATATATATCATTATTTGTATAAAATTATTATACGTAATAAATTTTTATTATTTAAGGATGATAGAGAACCAGAAACAGATCTTGACGATCTTTCTGATACAGATTATGACTGCAATTTCCAAAGAAGGGCAGACAATATGAAAGGCATATTCAAGACTGCAACAAAAAATATTATAAAGGCTCAGCTTAAGCAGCAACGAGATTATAAAACTCGTAATGCGGCTAAGAATGCACTTTATCACATAAATGATAAAGTGCTTGTATGGAATAATCGTCGGGCTGACAGGAAAGGAGGGAAAATGTTGCAGCCTTGGGTAGGTCCTTATATAATTGTTAAAATTGTTAATAGTAAATTTATTATTTTTAACAAAATATTTATACATATTTAGGCAATGTAGAATTATCCTCTTCAATAGGAAAAATTTTACATACTAAGGCTAATATAAGTAATTTAAAGCACTATATAGAGGGTAACAAAGGTATTATTTTTTAAATATATGAATATAACTTTTTTTAATGGTAATGATACAGTCAAAAATATTGCACATTGTGAAACTATAGAGGGTGTTCAAGATCAAGGTAATATCAGTTTATTTATAAAATAATATTGAACAAATAATTAAGTTTGTAGGCTTCTTAAAACTATAGTTGGAGAAGGAGAAGGTAAACAAATGCATTTGGGAAAAAGGAAAATATATTTTTAATTATTATATTTTCATTAGAAGAAGCACTATTTGAAGAAATGTCCTGTGGAATAAAAGTTTCAGGAGAAAGTTTTATTTTTTAAAAATTGGAAAAATTATATTTTTGATAAATCTAAAATTCTAGGGGTTGGAATTTAGAAAGGAGGATACTAAAATAAAACGTGTCAAGAGAAAGGGTATAATATATAAAATTATTTAATATATTTTTTTGGATATAGATACTTTTGGTGAAGATCAAATAATAGCTATTAAAAGTATAGTGAGAGAGGAAGGATATATAGGTGTACAAGATCAGGGTAGTAATATTTTTTAAAAATATGTTATTATTTAATTATCCAATTTAGATGACCAAATTATTGTGGAAGCAATAATACCAAAGAAAATTGGTGAACTTTTTCTGCCCACAACAAGGAACTCGAAGGTATATCACTCTAAACGGTTCAATTTCAAAGTAATTGGACGTTATCCCAAGATAAAATGTGGTATATTAAAAGAGATTTTCACAAATTATGGGTGATGGGAACTGTTTTTTTAGGTTAGAATCTATATATAATATTTAAATTATTTACCTATTTATAGGTGTATAAGTCAAGAGATATCAAATAGCCAGGAAAATTATAATTACCTTAGGGAGGAATGCATTCTTATTATGAGGAGCGAAGATTTCAAATTGGAAATGGGAAAATTTATAGGATATCCTGTAGAGGAATACCTAGTTAACAGAAATGTTATGTGAAACGGTGTCTGGGCAACAGAGGTAGAAATATTATCTATGGCCACATTGTTACAGACAAATATATTAATCTATACCCAATATAAATGGGCTTATTATTCGCCCATGAAATTTTTTAATAATATTAAAATATTTATTTATGCAATGTAAATAACAATCATTTTGT